TGAGGTCGATTGATTTGAGTGAAAATGCTCTTTCTGGGAGCATGCCGGAGACACTGCAGAAGCTTACATTGTGTACTTATCTGGATTTACATGGGAATTTGTTGACAGGGGGTGTTGGAGATTGGATTGGAAAAATTGAAGCTCTTGAAAGATTGGATCTTTCCGGTAATGGGCTTTCTGGGGAGCTTCCGATTTCATTGGGGAATTTGCAGTCCCTGCAAGTGGCAAATTTTTCAAGAAATGGATTTACAGGGACACTTCCCGAGGCTCTGTCCAGTTGCGAGAATCTTCAATCTTTGGATTTAAGCAACAATGCATATTCGGGACGTATTCCAAGTTGGATTTTGGGGCCAAAGTCGTTGAAAAGTTCACTGTTACATAAAGAAGTCACTGCGAAATATGCGAGTCCAGTTTCTTCATCGGCAGAGGGCTCACTCCAAAAGCTCCAAATCTTGGACTTGTCCTCTAATTCATTCTCAGGTGAAATATCATCTGACATTGGGGATCTCACTGGCTTGCAGTCCTTGAATTTGTCAAATAACTCCCTCATAGGTTCTATTCCATTGACCATCGGAAAACTCAAGGCATTGGATGTTCTTGATTTGACTGCGAATGAGCTGAACGGCGGTATTCCTTCTGAAATTGGTGACGCCACTTCTTTGAAAGAACTGAGGCTTGGAAGGAATAACCTCGTGGGGATTGTTCCGGATTCAATTGGGAAGTGTTCTGCTCTAACGACTCTGTAAGTTGTCCTTTGTCTCTGCCTCTTTACTCTCATTTCTGTATGTACTAAATCTGATATGGGTGGCTGAGACCAGCAATTTTTTTGTAGCTTTTGTCATTAAAAGATGCAGACTTTCTTTTCCTTTAATTGATTCTCCAAATTAAAATCATATGAACGAATTCAGGTAATTAGTTTTGGACTACTATAGAGTATCAGTCTCTTAGACCACCCTTCCACTTGAGAATAAGAGTTATTTCGGTTACTAGGGATTTCTTTGTTCTGAGTAATTGTGAGCTTGATAGTGTCCACTACATCGCTTGCATGTGTTTGGCCATATGCAAGGTGTAACTGTAGCTTCTCTTGATCAGTGCATTTCTTTTGTTAAATCTTGGCATACGTGATTTTAATTGCTTTCAATGCAAAATACCATTGTGCTTCTATAGACGCAAGCGCGAACAGAAAATCTACCTATGATTTGATTATTAGAAATATGCGGGTGAATTATCGTAAGTTATGTTTGAAATGGTGCAGGATCCTATCACGGAACAACCTAGATGGTCTGATACCTGCCTCCTTGTCAAAACTTGTGGACTTACGGATGGTGGACCTGTCATTTAACAATTTTACAGGAACCCTACCCAAGCAACTAGCCAATCTCCCCCACCTCCTCTTGTTTAACATTTCTAATAACCATTTTCAAGGGGAACTGCCTCTTGGTGGCTTTTTCAACACAATATCACCATTCTCTGTGTCTGGTAACCCGGCTCTTTGTGGTTCAGCTGTGAACAAGTCATGCCCTGCTGTCCTTCCAAAGCCCATTGTCCTCAACCCAAACTCATCCTCCGACTCCTCTTCTGATTCCTTACCTCCAACTCCAGGTCACAAACGAATAATCCTCAGTATATCCGCGCTCATTGCTATCGGTGCTGCTGCAGTGATTGTTATTGGTGTTATTGCCATCACTGTCCTTAATCTTCGTGTCCGAGCTTCCACCTCCCGATCTGCTGCGGCCCTCGTATTATCTGCTGGGGATGACTTCAGCCAGTCGCCCACTACCGATGCCAATTCCGGGAAGCTTGTCATGTTCTCCGGTGACCCTGACTTCAGCACGGGGACGCATGCCCTTCTCAGCAAGGATTGTGAACTTGGACGTGGTGGGTTTGGAGCTGTCTATAGAACCGTGCTTCGAGATGGGCGAGCCGTTGCCATTAAGAAGCTCACTGTCTCGAGCTTGGTGAAATCGCAAGACGAGTTCGAAAGAGAAGTGAAGAAGCTCGGAAAGATCAGGCACTCTAACCTCGTGGCGCTTGAAGGTTACTACTGGACTCCATCTTTGCAACTCCTGATATCCGAATTTGTATCTGGTGGGAATTTGTACAAACATCTCCATGAAGGATCAGGTGGGAACTTACTCTCATGGAATGAGCGCTTCAGTATTATACTCGGGACGGCAAGAGGCTTGGCTCATTTGCACCAAATGAACATCATTCACTATAACATAAAATCGAGCAACATTCTGATAGAGAGTTCCGGTGAGCCGAAGGTGGCAGATTTTGGGCTAGCAAGACTTTTGCCAATGCTGGACCGTTATGTCTTAAGCAGCAAGATTCAGAGTGCACTTGGTTACATGGCACCGGAGTTTGCTTGTAGAACTGTGAAAATAACGGAGAAGTGTGATGTTTATGGTTTTGGGGTTTTAGCTCTCGAAATTGTCACGGGAAAAAGGCCTGTTGAGTACATGGAAGATGATGTGGTGGTTCTTTGTGATATGGTGAGAGGGGCACTCGAAGAAGGTAGGGTTGAGGAATGTGTTGATGGAAGGCTACAAGGGAACTTCCCGTCGGAAGAGGCAATCCCGGTGATGAAACTGGGTTTGATATGCACGTCGCAAGTTCCATCAAACCGTCCGGACATGGCAGAGGTAGTTAACATATTGGAGCTGATCAGATGCCCTTCAGAAGGGCAAGATGAATCCTCATGAGTTTAACTGATACTTCAAAAAAAAGAATATTGCGAGAACATTTACTTTGCCGGCGAAGCGGAATCCGGGACTGTTTGTCTAATTGGGAGAAGAAAATTAGATTCTTGGGACTTCTGATGTCTTTTTCTATTGCTGTATGTTTGTTCTTGATTAAGGTTTTAGTTTCTTCTCAATGTTGAATTACGGTACCGGATTCCTCTTCACCGGGGTCGTATTTGGGATCCCCTCTATGGATATTGTTTCTTAAGTTACTGATCTATCGGGGTGTTCATCTTTGTCTGGTGATTTTGCTTCTTGTAATGAATGAGCTAAATGGTAACTGAGCCTTTTGTTTGACTCCATCAGAAATACAAAGTTTACATTGCCAACCCTGGTGAATGTATGGGTGGATATCTTGCAATAGAAGCTTATATTTGCTAAGCCAAAAATGTAAGCAGAAAACCGAACAAGACATTAATAATGCAAGAAGTTGAATTAGGTTTTAGTGCTGAGCCTGCCCGTCCGATGGACCAAAGACGCATGTCTTGGCTTCTAATAATATAGTACGCATTGTGCTGTAAAATAGAATCTTGTATCAATGATGGAGGCATTAAATTCGTGTTTGTACAAGTCAAAACTGAGCCTATTTTGTAGTCTCAAGATTCTTGCACCCACTTCGAAGTAAACAAAGTATAGGAAATGTAAGTGGTGAATAAAATAGTGGGAAAGTGAAAATGGGCCACTGAGGACTCATCGACAGCAGAGAAAGGTTGTGGAAAATAAGCATGGGTTAATGACCCAGAGAGAAACAAATGATAAAAGTGAAAAGTGCGAGGGGACAGAATCTCACACAGTCTCATGCATATAGCTGTCGGAATAGAATAGAAACCTAGTCACACCACCAAATGCATTTTTCTCTCCTTTTTGTCCCTTGTTTTTGGGTTGAGCACCACTATAATTTCTAATATACATCTGGAATTTAGGTTAGCAAAGGCGATGGTCATATTGCAGACCGAGTGAAGCTTTTGGCTTGGATCTGACTCATTTGGAGTAGTGGATATGATGTGCCTCACCAAGATTTCAATTATGCATTAGCTGTTATGATATGCAAAAGAAATCAATCTTAAATCATAGAGAGAAACTTTGCTTGTCCATCCTGCACAATTATTGCTGCTTAGCTTAATATTAATAATCTGCTTATTTAGGACACATCTTGCTTCCAACCCAGAGGTGCTCGAGAAATTTGAAGAGTCCACGAGTTTCTTGTAGCTAGGTAAAAGTCCTTCAATAAGTTAGATCTTCAAAATTATCAGTTTCTGATATAATAATTCTTGCTTTCCCTGTTATCCTGTTTCACAAATTGACACTGGTCCATTCTCCATTGCCATATTTTCCCTGTATTTTCCTCTTCAAGTGCTCTTTCCTAAGCTGTGTGGCCAAGTTTAATGAAGAGTCAGAAGGACACGAAATTATATTTCCACGAGCATGTGCATTGACTGCAAGAAATGAGGTGGCCCTAGCTTCGAGCCTATAAATAAAGATAAATGCTGTTGGGCCCAATGTTACCTAATGGATTTGGCTGTGTCAATCTCATCATGAACAGCACATGGCTCCTAAAATAGCTTCGTTATTTTTTAAATAATATTACAGGCGATATATTTAAATTTTCTTTGGTCACTGGAATTGACAGAAGAAGCTACCTACTTTTTTGTAGCATTCCAGTCACCCTGCGCAGTCCACTGGGATGTCCCACTTAGAATACCTTCTTTTCCTTGTCATGGATCGATGATCCTTGTGTTTTGTAATAATATAAAAAAATATTTTTTGAAGTGGGTAGAGTCTGGCCTCATCCTTTTCTCAAAAGAAAGTTCTTTATAGTTATCTGCAGACAGAACCCGTTCTTTTGGTCTTTCCTTTGCTCCTGTTGTGAGACAATAATATCGTTTCAGCTTTTGTTGAGCACGTAAAGATTGGGAAAACTAAGCTTTTATAATGTCCCTTTCAATATTCATTATTTGGGTATTTACTGTTGAGCATTCGGGAGTGTTGCTGCTACAGCAATAGCACCTACCTACTCAGCATTATTACTTTTCTTCTTTGGATTACAATGTACTTAGCATGGTATAGATTGATTTAAGTAAATAATGATCTCTGGAGTGCCTTTTTTAACTTAAAGTACTTCGTAACAGTGACCTCTTCAAGTATCTGAAAGTTAAAGCATGTGTCTCCTAATGCAAGAAACTGAAGCAGTAATCTCCACATACAACAGTAACCACCACATGTTCCAACTGGATAATTGTTTACGAAACACAGACGGAACAGAAACTAATAACATGTAGATCTTCAAGTAACTTAGATTTCTGTCGACAGTTACTTACAGGAGAAAAGGCAAAAAAAAAAATTACAAACCAAAACTTACCCCCGAATGATTTCTCAAGAAGTAAACATTAAGGGCCAAAATTGTGAAAAAAGTAAAAATTCACAAGTACTGGAAAGCCCAAAACAGAAAAGGCAGCACATTTCCTACCTCTTCACAATGCTATACCTAATTTTCTACATGTATAATCTCTTCCTCTGTTCTTGAGGTTCTCAATTTTTCCACCAATTCCAAGAAATATAAAGGGACCATAGGTTCAATCCAGTTCCTAATCATTCCAGTTGTCTTCCCAGCCAATTCTATTAGAAGACCGAGATGGGAATCCATTTGCCTTAGCAGCTGCATTACCCTCTGGCCCTTGGCTAGGTGATTTAACTTCCCTAATCTCATCACCCCAATCATCATCCCAACTTTCATCCCAACCTTCTGCTGCTTCCACAACATTGGCCGAAGTTGAATCTGCTTGGCCCATTTCAAGCTCTTGATATGGAATCCCATCGACCCGTCTTTCTGGTTTCCCGAACTTGCAGCATGCCCACACCCCTCCGATTGTAATGACCAATCCCAATAAAAGGTAGAGTCCATGAATGGGGGCGACCCGGGTGGCATAAGGGAATTGTTGAAAAAAGTTTCCTGCAGACACTGGTACTCCCACAAGAATGCTGCAAGTCACATCTCCAGCTTTTAACATTAAGGACGAACATACTCCCACATCATCTGTGAAATTGACCTGAAAAACACCAGTGCTATGAGAGGCGATAAAGTCGAGCTCAAGCCCACCTTACTCTAATTAAACTTGCGACCTTTGAGCTCTCAAATTTAGGTCCGAATTATATGGTTTGACTCTAGCTAAAACTGATTTAACAATTCTCATTATCTGCTTGTCTCTCAGAAGTTTAATATGGAGATCCTCCTTTACTTCACGACAAATATAACAAGTTCGGAAACAATAATTAGGTGCGGGCTCACCACTTCATGTTGCTGTTTTCTTAGTTGAACCTCCCTGCTGCTTTTTGCAGGTAAGCAAAGAATCTCCACTTTGAGAGGATCCTCTGCATCATACTGGACAAGAACAAATGTCCCCTTGGAAGCTAGAAGAAAAGACAACAGTTCTTTCATTCCAAAGGAAAAAGTAATGATAATTCAGTCGTGCATTTATATGAACCTAACACATTCTCAACCCATCGAGGACGTGGGCCCCATAAAAACTGCACCCTCTTACCTTTCTAATAAGGATGAAGAGTAAAGAGCAATGGAAAACAGTAAAACATAGACTGCCATCAAAAGTTGGATAAGGCGACAGGCGCATTTTTTTCTCACTGGAGGTGCACGGATAGATTATGCAGATCCCAAACTACTGTAAGATGGACAGAAACATAACTTTGCCTTCTCTGAGGCGTATGACGCATGTTTAACCTACTGCATTTCACAGGTTCATGGCATTGAATTTGCAGGTTCACCAGCAAAATGGAGTCACCATGAAGATCTATGAACGTTTCATAATTCTTTTTTTGGCCATAGTCTAGTGAGGCTTCTTCAAAAATATTATTCATAAGTCTAGCCGGTCATACTGATACAACTGGTAGTATCGAGTTATTAAAACACTAAAAACTAAAATACCCAGTTATTAGTTGGTACTCTCTAGACGAATAAGAAGATTAAACTTCATTCCTCGACAGGTCTTACCATTTTTCATCTTTCATAGTCTGGGGGCCTTAATTCTTACATTGAGCAATGGCCAGTATTTCCTACCTCCAGTATAGTCTTACATCATCATTGACTGTACTTCAAGGAGATGAAACAGTCTACCGCATTTTTAGCTATAAAAACAGTATGGGACTTAAGAGTGTGGAGACCAACATTCACACAATTCAAAATGAAACCTGTCTTTCAGTGCCATATTTCAAGGAGATCAAAGAGTATGCTATTTAAGCGAGGATATTCTTCATTCTTGAAACTATTATTGTTTAAATCTTTTTCCGCAGCTACTCTTACATGTAAGATTCTTTAGATGCTAATCAAAGATTTCAAGTTATTACTTGTTTTTTCAATAATCTTCTATTTGAGGTTCTCCGCCTACGCTTTCCCAAATTTTTAGAGCCTCCGAAATGTACACTTAGTTAGCATAATAACCAAAGTGATCGCATATGACAGAACTCTCACTTCTTTCATCAATGAACAGACAGCATATTTAATATATTGAGTTTTCTATGATGCATGGAGTAAAACTCTTCAAACACAGAGAGAGAGAGAGAGAGACGAAAAAAGACCATGTAAATTGATTCCAGGCACATGATTTTAAAGGATGCTTCTATCATCAACTGTAGAGCCTCTAGCCTGTCATCTACAATGGTCCTAATACAGATTTCTCCTCCATCTTATTAAGGTGAGTGTCTCTCCCTTCAGCATACACAACCTGCTTCTTATCATTTTTCTCACTTCCTCTTCAGTCTTCAGCATCCTCATGGAGCTGCTTATGAAGAACCAGAGAAGGATGCATAGCTTTTTGCTTGTAGTTTCCGACAGGTTCCTAAGACTTTTTGAAGTATATAACATAACTAAAATGGAAGTCTAGGAAAAGCAATTAAGCATGCCCCATGGTTTTTAATATCTCAATACGAAGTTCCTGAATAAACGCTGAATGTCTACTTTCTATCCATATCCACGTGTTCTCTGGTCATCCCTAAAAATCGGCAATACAAAAAGTTCATTCAACACTGTATTATCTCATGCTTGTACCCAATCCTGATATCAAATGGTGGCAGAATCCTCTGTTGACCAAAAGATCTGTACTTCTGTTGTCACTGTACAGGATGGCATCTAAACCTTCTCATCCTCATGTTCCTATAAGGAATCATTATTTCACGACCACCCCTGGAGATTCCTGATCACTATTTTCAATTGTATCATCACACCTCATTCCAACACAAAATTCCTCCATAAATATCACCTACCCCAGTAGGCAGCTCACATATTCGAGCCTTCTGAAAAAAAGGCATGAGATGTAGGACTCATAGTCATCACTTCTCTATTCTACCCCTCAAGAGAGACTCCTAAGGTATAATTCATGCGATTACCTAAAATTAGAAAGATTAGCCAACCTCAATAAATCCTCTTGTCAAGTTCGCTAATGAAGCATAAATAGAAAGCAATTGGATGGGTGAATAAGAACCTCTAAGGGTAGCCAGATCTTGCAAATGAAGAGTGCCATTCAAGTTTGCTAATGAAGCATAAATAGAAGTCAATTAAATGGGTGAATAAAGAACTTGCAAGATAAGCCAAATCTTGCGAAGGAAGAGTGCCAACCCCAACAGTGATGAGCAGCACTTGCCATATGCAAAAAATCCGATTCTCACCCCAACTCTGGCAGAATGAGTAAACTAGTATCGATATGCTATAACATTTCAACTGACAATGACACAGGAACCTCTCACACTAGTGCCTAGCTGCCAGCTCACCAGTAAGTATTGCATTATGGACACACTTGTTCTCACAGTCTCACTTGAATCAGTGAAGTGTGCTTCTCAGCAAAAGAAAAATGAAAAAAACTCAAACACGTGTGAACTCGAGTGGGTCTGTACTCAACGGGAAGGTTTATTCACTTAGCCTACGATCCTAAAACCACAAGATAACCACAGCAATGCCAATGAGTTGACATAAGGGTATTCAAACATATCGAGTATACAAAATGAAGGCTGCTATTCCATCTTGATAAAACGAAGCAAAGGAAAACAGCATAGAAACCAATTCATCTAGTCTCGAGAAGGTGGTGGCTATGAACCCCCATTAACCAATCCTGCTGTCCAATTTTTTAATATTCCAAGGAACCACAAAACCTCTAACCAATCATACCTCCATTAAAACAGACAATAAAACTGAGAAAAACAGAATTTTTACCGTTTTCAGGATGTTGCAGGCAAGCAGTCAGATTCTCGCCAGCTTGGCACGTCTCATCTGGAATCGAGCACTTGCCCTCACCGCCGGAAGCAACAGTCGGATCCGTGGAGCTTCCGGCGTCCGGTTTCTTCGAGCCCGAACTCAAACCCGGACTGGGTGCGGGAGAACTCTGCAACCAAGAACCCACCACCGATCGAATCAAAACACCCGAGAGGACGAAAACCCACAAGACAGCCGATGCGGCAAAGGGAGAAACAACAACGGGGGCGTACCTCGTTGGCTTTGGTCTCCTCCTCCAGCAGAAGTCGAGAGGGTCTCCCACGTTCCCGAACGAGGGACGCCCAAGATTGGCCACAGGGGATCCAGACCAAGAGAAGGATCATCAGAAAGACTCGATTTTTCGACATCCTGGGGGATCTCTTGATCTGGGGAGATCAGAGGAAAGGAAGAACAAGAACTTAGGACGGAAAACCATGACAACCCATCAAAATTCACGCGGAGAAGACTTCTGGGTCTTTGTCCTGTGTTGAGATATCTATCGATTGGGTCGATCCTGAAGAGAGAGAGAGAGAGAGAGTGAGAGAGAGTTGTTCAGCCGCCTCTTCGTAACGTCCGTCTTGCAAAGGCCGCGACTTTGGAGTTAGATTGACGCCATCCCTTCTTTTCTCACCCATCGCAAAACCAAAATGCCTCAGATGACTTTCTCCTCCCTTTCTTTTTGTCGATTCAAAATTTCATTACTCCTTTTGATTTTCGTGCTTTTTGGGGTCCTAAATTTCGGTTTGTACTGTTCTTTTGAGATAAATTTTCGTTCGGAATTCCAAAAAACAGAAAATTGTCATCGATACAACTTTGTGCCTTGTATATTCAATACAATCGCTATAAATTACGGGTGAACTTTCGCAGAAAAAAGAGAGAGAGGCGACGAGATTTCTTTTATAGGCATGAGATAGACATACCAATTTGAAAATCCGGAGTTTGAATTGATGTCCTTTTATTGATTTCTCTTAAATTGCATTGATTTCTTCTCAAAATTTCACTTCAAATGGAATTTGGTTATTTACCATGTACGAGGATTCCCGCTAAGCATTTATGGTTGAACGGAACCGTAGCTACTAAAGCGTAAATTACTCATTTTTCCGACCCTGCATTTAAAGCATGTCGAAACCTGTGGTCTTCCATATGAAATGTTGGTACAAATTGGATTCTTGGCATGGATTGGATGTACCGGGTGACATGAGATATTCTAAGTAAAAACTAAAAGTCCGTTAATTCCAAAAGAAAGATGAACTTTAGAGAATTTGGGTTGTACTAACTTGCATTTAATTAATTGTTCGTGGAATCTGTCTGGCGCGAGATTCTTAGTGGATGGGCACAAAAGCCGGGAAGTAAGAACATGCTCAGATGCTGTCGTGAACCGGGGCCCATCTGGCACGACGTGAAGGAGCGCTGTTGCAGCCCAAAACATTAGTGGGCTCGGACCAAGCCCGACCCATCAGGCCCAATAGGACGAGAAAAGGCCGGGTCGAGTGCTGCGGTCGGGCCCGAGCCCAAGCGATGACCTCGGACGTGGCCCATTTTCACTTTCCAGGTCTCTACAATCCTTTAACCGAAACCCAAATAAGAGGGAAAAATTTGTCATAGGTATATATAGGGGTGTGCATGGTCCGGGTGAGCGGTTTCCATCCCGAAACCGTGGACCGCCCGCTACAGGATCGGTTCCAAAAATTGGAACTGAGAACCGCCCGTCGGTTCCATAGACCCGCCCGAGAACCGGACCGCACCGGCAGTCCGGTTCTCGGGCGGGTCCATGGAACCGGTCTCAACAAGTTTTCCTAGACAAATAAAAAAAAAAATTTGTGGACCAACATCGGATCAACATAACAAAAGGAAAACAACATAACTTTTCATACAATTCCCACACTATGATCGATTATATTAACCACGTCATCCATAAATCAAGTGGGTACCCATTAATTATTGGGAAAAATGACCAAAGTATCCCAACTACACAAGAGCTTCAGACATGATAACAAATTTTCTTCTTTTTTTTATATATTTTTTTTGGTCAGATTTTTTTAATTAAAAATTTAAAAAATAAAAATATATTATTATTATATTACCGGTCCGGTCCGGGTGGGCGGGTTGGTGGTTCCACGCCGGGAACCGGGAACCGGCCCAAACAGTACCGGTTCCAAAAAATTGGAATCGGGAACCGGACCGGTTCCCTTGGGGAACTACTGGTTCCGGACGGGTCCCGGCTCTTTTGCACACCCCTAGGTATATACCAGTTTAGGGTTTTTTGTGATCAAAAAATTATTTTAGAGTAAAATTGTCACAGGTGTACTAGTTTGAGAGTTTTTTGTGGTTTAATCCAAGAGAAAAAAACCAACTTGAAACAGGAGAGTTTTAGCTGCAAAAGGTAGCACATACCGTGGTGACCGCCTTTCTTGTAGGCTTTGAGGAAGAAAATACTACATTTACTAATGGAAAGAAAAGTAAGCCCGGTGCCACGTTTGGATCAACTCACTCTAGGTTTATTGTGAGTTTATTTCAGTTCCACATATAAAACCAAACAAACACTCTCCTCTTTGTTCAATATATAATTTGATTCATTCATGTTCCCTTTGTCATTTTAAAAGCCCGTTAGGAGTCGTTTCTCGTCTCGACCCTCTCGCCCGGGCGATCGTTCTCCATCCTTATCGAATTGGATCGGTACAGGTCGTGATGCGAACATCCGTGAAATCAAAACCACCCCTCTCGTGCGCGCGATCAATTCATTTTGTTTGTAATGATTAACTTCCATTCTTCGTATCGATGATTCATCAACAAAGTTCTAAAGTACCACCAATACCAGTGGTCGATCAATAGGTAGGACGTTCCGATTCCACGTTGGGCGTGCGCTCTTTACGTGGTTCCCTAGGACTGCGCTAACGACACGTCAAGAGGGGGGAACGACGAGGTTAGGTGGAATGCGTGGTGGTTAGAGAATTGCACGCACGTGGCCTCGTGTCGTGGGTAGCTGAACAAATTGCAATAGCCCCTCCTCTCCCACCCATTAATTTTTCTTTAATCAATATCTTTACATGCCCCCACAAAAGGAAAAGGAAATAGAATATATTGAACTTTCAACGTGCTATCTATTACTAGGTTGTCTTTATGGATTAATACTGTCTAAGGTACAAACGCGGCATGCATTCGCAACATTTATGATATGTAGAAGCAAAGGAATTAGTCCGACAAGGGCTGCGCAGCCGTACCGATTTTATTTGGGAGCGGGATCGGACCGCCTTGAAGATCTATCCGGTTGCAGGTTCCTGTTGGGACGGATCTGGTTCCCGGTTCCTAGTGAAGAATCACATGGGAACCTAGACCAACCGGATCAAATTTGGAATCGGTTTCATAAAACTTAAATATTCTAATTTTTCTCTTGGTATCTTTTTCTCTATCTCTGTTCTCTGTAGTCTCAACCAGACACTTCATGACTCTCTTTCTCTCTCTCCCTCTCTCGATCGACTCACCCTTCTCCTCACTTACTTTCGTTCATTTTTTACTTTGACCAATTTTGTTGCTGATATTCGTATTGAAACAAAAAAAAAAAGAAACAAAAGAAAAACGGGCTTATTGAGTAGACATTGGAACCTGATCGGAAAAAAACAAAGGATGGATTCTAGGTCGGTTTCCGAACAAACATGATAGGTTTCAAGTTTCAAAAATTGAAAATTGATCTAGCATGATAAGTTTCGGGTTCCGGTTTTAGAAACTACTCACTCTAGAACTGATTACCCTTAGGCCAACCCTGAGTTAATCTCCTCATGGCTTGATAGCTAGCAATTTGTGTCAATCCAACTTCCCGATTGATTTCGTGTGAGCATGCCTAAGCCCATGTAATAAAAAATCTGAAAATCATTTTCCAAATCAACTCGATGATTCACATGAAGCGAAAACTTGATTTCGTAGCTAAGCTCGAGTCGATGCAATTTCTTGTTATAATGCTCGGAAAAAATACTCGCTTTTACCACATCGGGTGTTTGCCTAATGAAAAAGAAATAATAATTCGGGTGCGTTAGACGGACGGCACGTATTCGATTGCCTATCTTATTAGATACCAAAACGGATAAACCGGTATATAGACCCTTCATCGAGATTTTAATTAGGGTCTTACCCGATTCAAGAAGAAAGACAATCGTCGACCGACTTGTTGACACTTTGACATTCAATTCATTTTGCAACTAAACTAACTGCACCGAACCTACGCCAAAGATCTCGGTCATTGAAAGATAATTTTAATAAGGGAATCTTGACGTGCCATTGCAACATTGTATTCACCCACTTTAACTAGACAGGGGTCATCAGATGTCACAAGATTCAATACCAGATTAAAAAATGTCGATACAAAAGCCTCGTGAAGTTCAGTAAGTAGGACTGAAAATGAGGTGAAATCACAAGCTAACAGCTTCCACCACCTACCACCAATTGCGATGGCACGATGATGGGGACGATGGAGAGAGGGAGGGGCGTGAGTGGTAGCTACACAGCTAACACCAAGATAAATGCTTGCAAAGTCTTGTGCTAATTTCAAACACTCCAGTCTTCTTCGAGTCCGAGCAGATATTTTCCATTTTCTCTCTGCTTCATCCTCTTCAGGCTCTGCCACAGCTTTTCTTCCTGGGAAAAGGCCTGCGAATCTCCCAGTAAGTGCACCTTGTTCCTGGTTCATGCGAGGGCTCAGCTTCAAGCTTTTTCATTTTTGAATCCTGCAAGTTCTCGGTTCTTGCAAGTGCTCCTAGTGTCTTAATTCATATCAGAGGTCTCTTCTTTATTGTTCTCTTTCTTGATTTAAGTTTCTGGGTGGCTGACTAGATTGTTGTTCTGTCTCTGTGCGCAGTGGGGTCTGAAATGGTTATGGTGGATGAGTTCCCTTTTCCTTCGCAGATCACCACTACCAAGCCTCTATCACTGATGGGTCATGGTGAGCTTTTCTTTCTCTTCTTCTTCTTCTTCGTTTTTTGTCATTTTTTCTATTTTCTTTTTGTATTGTCTCCACAATGAATTCACTGTTATTTTACTGCTGGTGATTGAAGTATCATTCCCGCAGTAGATTCAGATTATTGTTAGCTGTTGTCCTTGCTCTTCCTATGTTTGTCTCTGAATTTTCCTGGATAGCACTTTTGTTATGTTTTGAGGCTGATGTGAAATATTTAAGGAATTAAAGAAGAGATGGAAGAGTGCTGACGAGTAATCTAGTGATCTAATGCAATGACTCCATTTTCGCCACGGAGCAAACGAATCCAAGGCTATTTAGTAGGGTGATCGTATGTTGCAATGAACAAAGTGACCTGCTCTTTTGAAGTTCAATCTTGGAATTGAGATTGGATGATAATCGGTAATATCCATTGTATATTATACATGATATGGACCCCTAAACTCACTTGATCTTGTCCAAGTTATATTATAGTGTCTACAGTAAGCTAGAAGCAGACATCCACATCGCTTGATGGTGAGAGAAATCACGTAGTGAGGCCTATAAGCAATATTCTGTCATTTTCAAGATGTATGTTCTCAATAAGGTTGCTTCAGCTGCATCGGATTAGTGCCTGGTGATAGGAATGTTGGGGTTGATTTGGCCATAGCACCCTGAAAAGGGAAGCTTTGCCCCAGCAGATTTTTAAATTGTCATGGTGGGCTTTTGTTTACATCATATGGAATGCTAAGAATGCCTGTGTACGTGCTTCTAATGCTGTTCCTGTTGATCTTCTTGTTTCAAGAATCAAGAGGTCTGTACTGGGTAGACTTGTTCATTTCCCTGTTGTTGCTAGACAGATTGCACTGGGTAGGCAGAAAGGGTTTGTGTAATAACTGGGGACACATTAGACTTGTAATAGCTTGAGCTTGTAACAAGTCGCTCGCCTGTGTCATCAATAAAATCTTGCTCATCGAAAAAAAATAAAACAAATCTGCCGAACAACTATTTCATCTTAAAGCTTGAACAGTACTTCCTGCCGTAGTTTGACTAATATTATTATCCCATTGTTCCGAGTACCAAGGGCTAAATCTCGTTTTTCACCAATCATTGGATCTTTGTGCTATGACAGGACTCACGGATGTTGAGATACATTTCCTCCAAATCAAGTTCACCGCTATTGGAGTGTACTTGGATCCTGAAATTGTCGGACATCTAAAGCAATGGAAGGGAAAGCCAGGAAATGTATTGGCTGAAGATGACGACTTCTTCGAGGCTGTCGCTTCTGGTAATGTGGATGAAATTCGTACCGTTTAGCTTTATATGGTTCACAGATGCTCTCATAATTGACTTATGGGCTGCAGAACCCCGCATGAGAATTTGGTCATTGATGTTGTGATTGCTTCCTGCCGAAGCAAAGCCCAAGTTACATGAACTTGACTATTGTTCACATTTCTCGCTGATTTGTTGACCATCAAACTATGCAGCCCCTGTGGAGAAATTCTTCAGAATCGTAGTGATCAAAGAGATCAAAGGCTCTCAGTACGGGGGGCTTTTGGAGAGTTCTGTCAGGGACAGGCTCGCGGCTGAAGACCTGTACGAGGAGGAGGAGGAAGCGGCCCTCGAGAAAGTAGTCGAGTTCTTCCAGTCCAAGTACTGCAAGACTAAATCGGTCATCACATTCCACTTCCCAGCAACTTCCAATACTGCTGAGGTACACACTGATGAAATTGACTCATTAGCCTATCTCCATAACCATTCGTGCTTGGCTGACTGATAAGCGCTTTTGTGGTGCACGCGTGCTTATGAACAGATTGCCTTCAGCACCGAAGGGAAGGAGGACTCAAAGATGGTGCTGGAGAATGGGAACGTGACCAAGATGATCAAGAAGTGGTACTTGGGAGGGACAAGCGGAGTGTCTCCGACCACCATCACCAGTCTTGCCAACACCCTCTCTGAGAAGTTGTCCAAATGAGAGAGAGAGAGAGAGATTTGCTGTGTTTGTATTGGCAATGGGTTTATGTAATAAGTGACGATGCTCCTGCTGAAAAATTGAAGTGAGATTTCGAGTTTGAATCGTGCCGTCTTTGCTTCCCCTGTTTTTGCCTCGGCCTATAATTCCTTTAGGCCAGTTCAGCTCATATTTCTCCACTGTGGAAGCTTGGAAATTCTACAGATCCATTATCGGTGAACGGATTGCACCATTTCATGATGACATTTTGCATGTGTTAGGGAATCAATGGATCTGTAGAAGGATTCCCACAAGCTTCTCTTTGCAGGACACTCGATCGTGGGCCTACCAGGCCGTTCACGCAAATCATACAAGGTTAAGTACCTGCCTTGATTTGCTTTGTAGACATCACACTTCGAATTCTGAGAATTGATTGTATCCTCCTCATGTGCTGAGGTATTTATCAACAAGTTTGTATGCCATTATAGCAAGGAAACAATTCATTAACATATCAATTAGGAATCTCATGCCCAAATCAGTTTATTCCGCGAAGGAGCGACAACAACAACCTCGGTTTGTTAATAGTATAGAAGGGTCGTTATGTGTATCTTCGGAGGCGTCTTATTGTTAATCCCACTGTTTAGATTTGAGCCTCTGCACAAAGAGGGTCAATCCAAGGGTTATGGGGGTGCTGCCTCATGCTCTTGAGAGCCTTCCAAACAACGCTATTACACTTGAATCCAGAGCCAAAGGCTATCTGCCAAACCCGGTCGCCTTTCCTTATCCTGGAGGTCGCTTCCAGGTAAGCCAGTTCATACCAAACGCTGCTGCTCGAGGTGTTGCCGAACCGCTCCAACGTCCTCCGCGATGCTTCCATGTATTCATCGGTGAGGTCGAGGTTCTTCTGTATCTCGTCGAGGACCTTCTTGCTGGTCGCCAGGATGCAGACATGCTCGAAGGCGAGCTTATAATTGGGAAGATAAGGCTTGGACGTCTCCTTTTTGAAGAGGAAGTTGTTGAAGAAGTGAAGCTGTTCGGAAACTGGGAGCACGAGGGGGCCGAGGGTAGTGATGTTGTCCTTGAGCGCGTTCCCTCCTATTCCAATCACGTCCTTGCTCACGGAAAGTCCTCGGGTACCTTGGGCATCTTCCTTCATATGTGTGCACCCGAAGCTCCTTTCTTCCGCGCCTTTATGAGTACGAACAAGCTGCAAACAAGTGAAAAACTGAATAAAGAACTCCTTTTTGTTGCAAGAGAAAAAGATCAGCTCTTAAACAATCCATTTGTGAATACTAATGGAGAAGTAGTGAAGACCTGCTTGAGTTCATACTTGGAGCGCCACCTGTCGAGGTGGCGGCTCGAAAGCAAGATGGCAGCAGCACCCATCCGAAAGAAGCAATTCGGAAGGAGCATGTCAAAGTCATTGCCGTCGTACCAGGTGTAGCTCACTGCTTCGGTACTGACCACAAGTGCGTAGCTGCCAGGACGGGCAGCCAGAAGGTCCCTAGCCAGATCCACCGCTATGACTCCTGCAGCACAGCCCATCCCACCCAGGTTAAAGCTGTGGATGTCATGCCCAAGCTTGTAATGGTTGATGAGCATGGCGGAGAGCGACGGAGTTGTACTTAGGAACCCACAATTCACGACAAGGACACCAATGTCCTGCAGTCGCACTTTGGTAGCTTTGAGCAGTTCACTCACGACACCAAAAATCACCATGGAAGCCTCTTCTCGCCCATCCTTGAGTGTTATTTTATGCTCAGGACGAAACACCGCTCTTGGCAAGTATGTCTCGTCTCCAATGCCTGATCTCTTCAGAACCCCCTCCTGAAAAACGATTGCTCCGTCGCTGTACTTACCTGATTTTCTGGCGAGCTCTATGAATTCTTCTTTCGATATCTGCACAGTAACAGTACATTCAATCGAGTACCTAATCATTGCCGAATCAATGTTAATGGAGAATTAGATCGATGAACGGCAGGAATAAAATGCGTACCTTGAACTCATCCGGGGGACGAAAACAAGCGAAATCGACCAGGTAGGTCGAACGGGGTATGAGACTGAGATATACATATAAGACTAGTCCCAACAGAACCCCGACCGAAACCATGTCGAACAAGCTACTTTCGGGACTCGGATCCTTCCATGCTATCGCCTTTCCAATCTCTACGCCCAGAATGCCACACATAACAGGAGCTGCTACATAATAAAAGCCGCTGCTGCTGATAAGGTAATGGTATCCCAGTTTCACATACTTCAAGTCAACGGAGCTGAGAAAATCCGGCAGTGCTCTCCTAACCCTCACGGAGAAGTCCACGGAACCGGCGTAAGGGCCCGAGCCCTCGACGGCCCGGTTCGTGATTTCGGTGGAGAACAACTCCTGATCGGCCCTCGCCATGTCGGGCGTTGGATCCCTACAGAGAGTGCCTAGAGCAAACAAGAACGGCAGCAGCAGCAGCTTTCGAAGAACTTCAGGAGCGCATCATGAAAGCGTCGAAGGTTTTGGTTGGCTACACATCCAAATGTAAGAGGAAACCAGAAAAAATCCGACCATACACACCGATACACACGCGTGTGCAATGCAGGTTCTACCTTAATTCTTAAAAGCCATGCTTTTTCCAAGGTGACGTGACGTGCCTTCGTGGTCAAGCGCTCCAACGGAAAGCTGGTCTTTTGTGCGTGACGAACATCATCCCCGTTTTCGTGGAAAATCTAAGAAGCACCAATTGCAATTCATGGCAAAAGAGAAGTTTGCTTAACTGTCTTTCGGAGACGGGCGGCGACGGTTACTGGTCGTGTCGGGACAGACGTGGATTGACGGTGCACGCGCACGTCGTGCCATTGAGCTTGGATTGGCCCTCTCTTCTCTTTAAAATCGGGAAACCTTTGGTAGATATCTAACGACATTGCACAATTAAAAGCAGTTTGGGTAACCTATAAGCAAAAAAAAAAAAAAAAAATACCACATACATACATTTATTACCTTAAGAAACATATTTTACTTAACATTCGCGTGTTCAATTGATATACAGGTTTCGTTTTTGTTTCGCGGAATAAAAATGATTTGGGAAATATTTTCTGTAAGAACGATTGCTTATATTGTTTATGAAAATGAATGAATGAATGAAAAATATTTTCATCGTTCACGAAAATCAATAATGAAAATATCTTTCGAGTAATATAAGTGATCATTTTCAGGAAAATATTTTTCAAATCATTTATTTTCCGCGAAACAAACGGGGCCATAGTTTAATAGATTTTTCTTATTTTAAGAAACTCAATAGTCAACTGTACTGATCAAAGTATTTGGTTCAAAATTGTTGTTGATGATTAAAAAATTTTGCGTTTCATTTTTTTGAGCAATAAAAAGATCATAGTATAGAAGATATTACTTGAAATTAACTAATTTTACGTGCAATAAAGGGAGCTAATCATAATAAGGAAAAAGTACAAAAAAAAGTCATAAATTTATTGTATTAATTCAATCCTAAATCTTTCAATTGAACCAATTTAGTTTCAAATCTTTTCGCATTGGTACTCATTCGGTCCATTGCAGCGAATTTATGTAGAAAATTGCTAACGTGGACGCCGGCCAACTTACGTAGCTAGGCTGACGTTAATATGGATATTTTTTAAATAATATTTTAATAATTTTTTTGTTTTTATATTTCTTCCTTTTTTTTCCTTCATTTTGGCTGGCGAGGCGGCTCTCGCCCTCTTGGTGAGGGCTTGCACACCGCTGCGAAGGCCCTAGGTAAGGGCCTTCGCGCCTTTGCCTATGGCTGGCTAGGCCACGAAGGTCCTCACAAACCCTCGCCGGCCAAAATGAAGGAAAAAAAGAAAGAAAAAAATAAGAAAAGAAAATAATTTATTATTATATATCAATATAAGTGCCGGTCGTGCCACGTAAGACAGCCGGCATCCACATCAGCGATTTCCGATCTAAATTGACTAGATGGACTTACCAATGTGAGAAAGTTTATGACTAAATTGGTCATTTTGAAATGTTTAGTATTAAATTGGTACCAATACAATAGATTTATGACTCTTTTTGTGCTTATCCCATTGTAACCAAAACAAAAAAAAAAAGCCGAACACTCCACTACTACGACGTCGTTTTCATGCTTCTCCGCAACCTCACAAAAACCTCTACCAAGACAAAAAAATAAATAAATAAAAAAACTAAAAAAACCAAACAGATTAAGACACTCCCGATCACCATCTCCAATAACGAACGAAAACCGAAAAACCACCACCTCCACGCCCAGAGAGGAAGCTCGCGCCCGAAGAACCAGCCATGGAGATGCAAGATCCGCCCCCGAACCCTAACCACAGCCCCCACATTCCCTCCCCCCAGAACCCCCGCGCCCCCCACCTCGCCGCCGCCGCCCCGCCCCGCGGCGGTCACCACCGGCGGGCCCACTCCGAGGTCAATTTCCGGATCCCGGAGGACCTGGATCTGGGGCCCGATCCGTTCGACAACGGTCCTTCCGGCAGCTTCGAGGACTTCGGATCGGAGGATGATCTGCTCAGCACCTACATGGACATCGAGAAGTTCGGATCCAAGCTCGACGACGGGCAGGGGCCGCCGTCCGATCCGAAGCCCGACGACGCGGGCGGCGGAGGCGACGCGGGGGAGAAGAGCGCGAGGCCGAGGCACCGGTACAGCAACTCGATGGACAGTTCTTCGATTCTGGAGAGTATAGAGGCGAAGAAGGCCATGGCTCCTGATAAGCTGGCGGAGCTGTGGACGATTGATCCCAAGAGAGCTAAGAGGTTCTTTTCTTTTTTTTTTTTTTTTTTTTTTTTTCTGGTCACGCGTTGTGTCTGCATTTGATGTGCGAGATTTAGCTATTGATTTGCTAGCTGGTGTTGCTTAGTGCGAAATGTAGTGTGCCGGTCTGGTTTTTTTTTCCTGTTAGTTCTCGTGGCTAAGTGTTGTGATTTGGTCTATGCAAATGGACGTTCGCTAGACAGAGTTATTTGTTGGGTTGCTTCCATCTAGGCTAAGATTCAGCGTATTACACGTTTGAGGTTGTGCTTCCAAGAGTTGTTAGGTTGCTTGGTGATCTCGATCGTGAGATGTTTTGGCAATGGAGTGATGCGTGAGTCAATTGATATTCGAGGGCATATTCGGGATGTGCTCTGGAGAGGTTTTACATTTTGATTTCGACATGGCGTTGGCTGCCACGGATGTGCTAATATCAGTTCGTGCTCAAGTTGCAACTTGCAAGGTGTAAAAACTAGGGGAGTTTCACGAGGTGACTGTGCCGTTGCTTTTGCATTTTGCAAAAGAGAGATTGTAATTCACAGGCCTCGAGATGCTGCTCTGCGAAGGGCTCGTGAGCATTGCATTCTTGAACCAGGGGCACGAGGAATGTGCATGTGTGGTCTTCATGTAGGTAGTAGCTGTCATGACTTTGCACGCATGGTCACGCTCCCCTTGAGTGGTCTTGAGAATTGGAAGCGAGTACATGTCGGCTTCATTTTTAGGTTGGAAATCAGTTAGCCAATGAATATTATGTGATTTATTAATCAAGCTCTACTTCATTGTCAACATAACATTCTCCCTTTAGGGGCGTGACCAGATGAGACACAAAGCTTTGGGTCACTTGGTGGAATTACCAGTTAAGCATCATCACTGCTACCTTCATATGTTGACCTTGTAACTGACTTTGACATTGTATCAAGACTAGCTTCATCCCAAAAGACCATCTTCCACATGAAATTGTCTGTGCCTGCCCATGCAACGGTCGTATACCAAATAAGACTTTGTAAACTTAGCATTTCTGACTTTATTGTCCTTGAAGGGGTTTCAACATGCGAACAGTTTATTTATGCATGAAGCTGTGATCAATAAGTTCCATCCATCGGATTTCTTCCAATTGAGAGAGCTAGAGATGGATTGTAAATCGCTGCCACTTCCATTTTTGTGTTTGACCAACTTTCTATTCCTTATCAAAATGTTTGGAGATTTCTTTGAGCTCTTGACGAATTAGTTGGGTATCATCGTATTCTTGTATAATCTGCCTAAAAGTTGCTTCATTTATTAATTAATTATTTTCTCCTCGCTAGATTCATGCTTTTGCTCATCTCAGTTTCTAATGACTGATTTGAGGGCTTTTATTGGCTGCATCTCTCTATACGTGCTTCGATAAATGGACACTTCTAAATTGCTTTTGCAAACGTACAAGTGATGGCCTTGGCTCTTCCTATCTTCGTACCTCACAATTTATTCTTCATACAGGATTCTTGCGAACCGGCAGTCTGCTGCGCGATCAAAAGAGAGAAAAGCCCGATATATTTCAGAACTTGAGAGAAAAGTGCAGACCCTTCAAACAGAAGCAACTACACTCTCTGCTCAGCTCACACTTTTCCAGGTATGGACAGTAATAGCACATGCACGTATGGGAAAGCATGCTTCGTTCGAAGAGCTTCAGACTTACCTGTCCATTTGATCTTCTTGGTATGAATGATCCTTCATACCACCAGCAGTTAGTGTAGGTCCCACTCTAATTGGAGCTTGCTATTTTTTCCACCTAATGAGAGCTTTGAAACATGAACAGAGAACAAAACAAAAAACCCAAACTCCACTTCTGCGACGTCGTTTTCATTCGAAGAGCTTCGGACATACCTGTCCATTTGATCTTCTTGGTATGAATGATCCTTCATAGCATGAGCAGTTAGTGTAGGTCCCACTCTAATTGGAGCTTGCTATCTTGACCACCTAATGAGAGCTTTGAAACATGAACATAGAACAAAGCAAAAAACCTAATCTGTACTTATGGGAAAGCATGCTTCATTCGAAGAGTTTCGGACTTACCTGTCCGTTTGATCTTCTTGGTATGAATGATCCTTCATAGCATGAGCAGTTAGTGGAGGTCCCACTCTAATTGGAGTTTGCTATCTTGACCACCTAATGAGAGCTTTGAAACATGAACATAGAAGCCATATTCCGAATCTTGGAATTGTAGAATCCAAAAAGCGGAGAGAGAATTTGGATGTTATCTTGTGTGCTAGAATTGTTCCAACATTTACAATCACCAAGGCTGTGGGGATCCTGTTCATCCCACCCATCCAATGTAACAAAAATTAAAGTTGCCTTTGCATATGTTTTTACGAATTGCATTCTCCACTTCCTTTTCTTATATATGATGTATGGGTGTGCTATCCGGTCGGTTCGACCAATGAAGCGGCCCGGTTGGTCCGATTCCCGGTTCCGGGAACTTGGACTTGACCTAAGACAGATTAGGTTCCCAATTCCAAGGCCAGAACCAGTTCTGGATGAGTCTTTACCCACATTAGCAGCTCACGAGTAGATTGTGTTTTATAGGCTACCAATCCTGGCTGGGATATAATTTTGCTGTTCTTTTCTTCTGTTTCCGTTCTTTTAATTGCTGAGGGCCCTTATCAGTGAACTTCGCTCCTCTATAACTGAAGCACTTGTGTTATGTCTTCCTAAGATATTAGTGTTGATTCTTTGCGGACTTTATATCTGTCTTCTTATTTCATCGTATTCTTGCCACTTTATTACTTAATAGCTTGTCACATGGCCTCTTCACTTACCAAGAGCTCGGTTTTAACTAACTTTGTAAGTTTCTAGCATGATACATATTTGATGAGCCTTTTAGTTCTGCAACTTCTGAATAGCAAGGAGAAAGACATTTGGAGATGTTAATCTATGCCTAATAAAAAATTAGATCATGCCACTACTTACGATCCAAGATTATCTAATAATCTCAAGAAAATGCAGTCCTCACCTTATTTTTTTCTTTCTGATCCCACCGCCAAGTTGATGACAAAATAAGATTTTCATCTTTTGATTTTTTGCTTTGAAGGAAAGAACTGGACAAGGTCCGCAATCAAACATTAAGCATTTCGGTATGCACTACCGCTTTAGATTCCGTGTTGTGGTCCAATACGAACTTTTGGTTCGGAGAATTTAGTAGTTCCGTGTTCTTTCTTTATAACAATTTTGCGTTCAACATTCGCTGGTACATGCTTGTTTTGTTTTCATTAAGAATAGCATGAGCATTTTTGTTTCTTTTCATTTATACCTAGTTCATACTGTTAGTCTGTGACACTGGCATTTACTTTTGTTTTACTTCAGAGAGATACAACAGGTCTGACGGCTGAAAATACGGAGCTTAAGCTGCGGTTACAGGCTATGGAACAACAAGCTCAGCTACGTGATGGTATGTCTTAATCTATGTATATAGAGAACAAACACTGGATACCACAACAAGCTCAGCTCCCCTTATTTGTTTGGGCTAGTGGAAGTACATTAAGTACTTTCCCGTATTCATTTAGCCCACAAAGAAAAAAAGAATGAGTGAAGTTTCATAATCTTCAGTTCATGGTATATGAGTATTCATTATCAAGCCCTCTCCCGTCTTAATTGTCACAAAGAACCTATCTTTGGGAGCCATTCTGGAAAGCATAACATTTCATTTGGAGTGTTCCCCAAACTATGGATGTATTTGGGTAACCGTAATGTCACATTAGGGTACTATGTCATTGGGAACCACTTTTCTGGTCTACCAGTTCATCAGTTAAGCCACTCAAACATGTGTAACCTCACATCATTTTTCATTTGGGTGTGTGTTTGTATCAATTGATTTTTAGCTAATCTTTGTGTCCTGATTGTTTGTTAGCTCTGAATGAAGCACTTAAGAAGGAAGTAGAGAGGCTCAAAGTTGCTACCGGAGAAGCAATCACCCCATCAGATGCCTACAATCTGGGGCTGCACCATATTCCATACGCCAAACCTTCCTACTTCCCACACCAGCCACAATCTGGCCACATGGATCCCCAGAACTTGCAGATGTCGCAGTTCCATATGTTTCAGCCGAATATGGCTCATCAACCTCTTGTTGCTGCAGCCCATTCTAATGCCTTTTCTGAAATGATGCAGCAAGATTCTCTCGGTCGATTCCAAGGATTGGATATAAATAACAAAGGCTCTCAAATAGTAAAATCCGAAGCCCCCTCCATTTCAGCCAGTGCAAGCAGCAGCACATTTTAATGCAATCTCTGCCAACCCACTAATGACTACCCCACTTTTGTTGGATTGTTAATAGACTAACTTGTTGACTGCCCGAAGGTATTGTTTGTTGTTATCCAATTCTTTCGATTTGATTGGAGTTTTTGGTTTCATGTAGCTTCATCTGTTCCATTGCTGTAATTTTTTGTGACTTGTCTATTTTCAGCCTAGATTTATGTTTAGGAACTGATGATGCTTTCGGAAGAAACTTTGTTTTTTTTTTTTTTGGTCAAAGGAAGAAACTTTGTTCAAAAGCTAGGTTATTGGTGTCTTCCCTCCGTGTACTAACTTATGACTCAAGTATTTTTTTTTTTTTAATTATATCTGTTGGGTGGAAAAGAAAGGCTCCATGTTTAATTTTAATTGTACTTGCTGTCTCCTCTCTCTCTTTTCTCCGAGGCAATGCAACAGTGATCTTCTTCACCGCTTAAGAGCTTCCAATTGACTGTCTCTTACCTTTCTTTTCGCTCTTCAAGTGTCATACACAAATTCTTCCCCAATCCCTTTATGTAGATATGCCAATACTTCCAACATTCGATATGTTGGGTTGCTATATTTACTCATTTCACTGCAGAACATCCCTTTACTGGTATCAATGACTTTTCTTACGCTGTTCTAACACTAGCTCTCTCTGTCCTGTATAATTGGGAACATTCAAAAGTTTTAGTTTGTGATCATTGCACTGCCTGTTAGACATCGATGGAACTTGCGTAGCAGCAAATCAGTTCATCTTGTAGTCAGGCTGCTTTTGCATTCTTATACAAATGATGGTTTTGAAATTGCATTGCATTCATTCTTCTCTCTCTTCATTTTCCTTATTGCATCTACTATCAAACAGAGCATGGATCTAGAATAAGTTATAGTTGCTTCAATGTTCAGCATCAAGTGCATATGAGAAGAAAGTCACTAGCAGCTTCAAGCAACCTCTTCTAGAATTAAGATGCAAACAACCTTTTCAAATTTTTTTAAGAAATAAAAGGGTAGGAGAGATATTTCCTTCAAAAGATGAGATGAAAGTACACCTTTACATCTTGAAAATATTTGCTTTGGTACATGCTGACGAAAAATATAATAGAGGATTAGTGGCTATAGCGAAAATGTAGTGTATGACAGTCGAAAGTTTAGAGGCAAATGTATACTACCCCACAAAATTTGGTGGAGTTTTTAAGTAATATACCCCAAAAAATACATGAATGGCCACATATGCACTATGCAGGGGAATGCCATGTCAAAATCTCGGAAGAGAAAGTAACACCAAATGATCGAAAGACGATGTTGAGCAAATTGAATGAAAATAGGGCTGTGCAATCGAAAAGAATAGAATCATATACATAAAAATTAGACTTAAAACTATAATTAAGTGCTAGTTAAAGCCCAAATATGCAAATTTATCACGGTGATGCGTTCTCCCTGAATCTTTTGACATGGTCTTTCCAAAAAGTCTTTTCAAAAGTCTTCTATGTGTTTTGCTACTTTAATGCCATTATTTTTCTTGTCCATTCAACAAAAATTTGTCGATCCTTTTATGGAAAATGAAACCTAAACCTAATATTCTAGTTACAAGAAACCTTGTTTGTCAATCATATTAACCTGCAACACCTACTCAAATGCAAGAAGTCGTGTTGGAGCACTTGGCTTCATATCTGCAGAGATTGCTAAAACAGCCTTATGCTTGCCGAAGGGTGACCCTCTCGACCTCGTGAACACCCATGGTTTAACCGGTTATATCAAACCCGAACAACGTAAGCTCTCCAAAACATGCCTCGCTTGTCACCTTATAGAAAGATCAAGAATCGCCCATTTTCTCCAACACCCCCCACAACATTTAATGCACATGAGAAGAAGAAGGGCTTTTGTTTTGGATCCTTTACCGCTTCAGGTGCATGCTGGGAAAATTGTCAAATCAGTCATAAACCTATTGTACGGCGGCCAATTCAGTCCTAAACCTTTTAATTTTGTCAATTCAGTCCTAAACCTTTCTAATTCTTGCCAATTCAGTCCTTACGACCAATTTTGGCCGGCCGGCGCCGGCCGTCCGGCCAACGCTGACGTGGCAATTTTTTATTATTTTTTTTCAATTTTTTTAATCTTTTTTAATCTTTTTTTTTTCTGATTTCTTTCTCTGGCCGGTCCGGCGACCGGCGGCCGGCCAAAGGGGAGGGCCGGCGAGGTCGACCTCGCCGGCCTCGCTGCTGCTGAGGCGAGGCCGACCTCGCCGTCGCCTGGTTCGCGACGGCGATCTGGGCGAGGCTCGACCTCGCCATCGCGACCCAGGCGACGGCGAGGTCGGCCTCGCCGCTGCTGGGCCTCGCCTCGCCCAGCAGCGGCGAGGCCGACCTCGCCGACGCCTTGACTTTCCATCATTGCCCTTTGAGGGCTTGAAAACCCCCTCAACAACAGGACAGTTTAGCATCTTCTGTGAAGGCAAAACCGGCACCTTTTCACCAGTTGATACTTTACAATCGTTTAAATCCACTGCAAAAACCTTTTGTGGATCGAAATCAACATTACCCGCCGTTGAGCCGGACGGATAGTACGTTCCACTCTGCTCCTTCGGGTCTTTACTCCAAACGCCCACGTAGAAACTCCCATCTGCCCATCTACAAGTCCCATTTCCTCTAGGCAAACCGTCTTCCCATAACCCATCATACCGGTTTCCATTACTCCAAATCATCGTGCCAGTTCCACTGATCACCCCATTTTTCCATTGTCCAACAAAATGGTTACCATTCATCCATCGGTACCTCCCATGACCATGCTGCAACCCGCGGTGCCATTCTCCTTCATAACCATCCCCATTGGCATAACTCTTGGTCCCTTGTCCATGTTTCAAGTTCATGGTCCAAGAACCTCTATAAGTATCCCCTGAGGGACCTGTGTAAGTCCCTTTACCATCCATATACCCATTCTTGAAATCACCCTCATAAGTGGCTCCACTAGGCCAACAAAATTTCCCTTTCCCATTGGTGTTGCCTTTGTGCCACTCGCCAACATACATACACCCGTCAGTCCATAGGTACTTCCCGTGACCGTGGGGGAGGTTATCGGCCCACTGGCCAGTGTAGAAGTCGCCGTTGGAGAGGAGTTTCTCGGCATGATAGACCTCGCCGGAGCCGGCATTGTCGCCGTCCTCCTCCTCCTCCTCGTCGACGTGCGCCGCGGACATCACGGCAAAAATGCTGTTTGCCCTTCTTTTGTTAGCAGCAGCAGCTTGTGATTTGCGCACCGTTAATTCCCAGGCCTTGACAATGCCAACATATTCTTTGCTCATTTCTCTTGTCTATCCAGCAAGAGAGAGGAAAGGCACTCTCCGTTTCACGTTCTTTCTTCCCCGTCGCCCCCACCCATCGGCACCCAGATCAAGATCAAGCTCTCTCTCCCCTGTCGTCGCTATTCAAGACCGAGAAACCATTTCAAGAACGAGCTCGGAACAGGGGGACGGCAATCTTGAACAAGATCGACGTCGCGGGCAGGGGAAGGGAAAGAGGACAAGACGCGAAAGAAAAAAGAAGATATCTGTTTTATTGCCCTTCTGGAACGAAGCTGTGAGATTTGAACAACAAAACGATGAAAATGTCGGAGTGACGACGGCAAAGCAAAAGTTCGGATTGTACCATGACCCACCTACGTATGTCTGGCTTTTCCTCTGTTCTTCCGAGAAATTTGTTTTCTTTTCTTCTTCTTCTCTCTCTCTCTTCTCTTTTCTTTGTGTTTTCTTGAAATATTTCTTGAAGGGTTGCGTTCGGGACAAGAGAGAGATTCAAAGAGCAGAGGGTTGGTTCTTGATTCCGGATTTGGCTCGCAAAAAGACCACTTACAGGCCAACCATTTGGAAGGAGGAGAGGCGTGGTGGTGGAGATTGTTGAATATATGTCTCGAGTTTAAGTCCGAAGCGAAAATTTAAATATTCCGAATTGATAATTTGCGGACGTCCGAAATCGAGCAAAAGGAAATATTGGAAATTTGCTTTCCTAATATGCAAGAGTTGCCAGCAAACAAAAGAAAAGGAAAATAGAATGAATATTTTATTCTTTCCTAATTTTAGTGGGAGTCACAGTCTGGCAAAGAAAGACGAAATAGGAAAGTCCAAACTTGGACTTGTTGACCGCATGGAATCCCTTTCCAAGCTTGAGTCGGCCACTGTACGTTTACTTCTTGGGCATACATATATATATTCTTGAACTTGGCCGCAAGAAGAACAAGTCTTGATGCGCCATTGTTGATAAAGAAGTCTCGAAGCGCCGTGGTTGACGTGAAGACATTCGTGAGTGCTTGGCGGTGGGTGTTTCCATAGATTCTCATTCGTGAATTACATCCAAGAAGAATTAGTGTTCAAGCGTAAATCTTGTGATAAGATTTGTGTATAATTCTTCCGCGAGATTGAGAGATTATTTCGTGAGGAATTGTGGGGCTAAACACTGTGTGAGTTATTGGGTGTAATTGGGGCTTGGGAAACACCGAGATGTTTGAGTGACTCGAGTGTGGTTGTAATCTCCGTTGTATCGCTTGATCTATAGTAAAATTCCGTTCTGCTTCTCCCCGTGGACGTAGGTCACTATGACCGAACCACGTAAATCTGGTGTCCGATTTATTTTCTTATTCTGTCAATTTTATTGTTCGATCGCTTGGCTTCCGCAACAGAGATGATGTTTTTGCCATTTTTAGTGTCTCGTCGCCATTGACCCCTCTCTCATTTCTTTAATTTCTTTCCCTTTTCTTTGAATATCTTATAAAGCATCGTTTTGGTGCTATGCGATTGCATTATTCTTTTATTTTCTTCTCTTAATTTTCTGGCTCAGTGATTTGATGTTTCAGACCACCCCCCAGTCGCGTTCTTATGATTAGTCACATTTCTAGTCATGGCCCTTGATTTCTCCCAATGAATTTCAATAAGGAAATGATTTCATAGGCTCAATTCACGAGAGTTGAGCGTGCAATCTTATGTATGCATTCCCTATTCGATACATACGTGAGCGAGATAACTTATGTGTATTCGTGGAAATTTGTCGAATAGAAAAATTCGATTATCCGAGTCACCGAACAAAACCAAAGGTGTCGGGCAATTTTCAATCTCGACTAAAAAAAATTGAAAAAAAAGATTAAAAAATTGAAAAAAAAAATAAAAAAATTGCCACGTCAGCGTTGACTGGACGGCCGGCGCTGGCCGGTCAAAATTGGCCGGAAGGACTGAATTGGCAAGAATTAGAAAGGTTTATGACTGAATTGGCAAAATTAAAAGGTTTAGGACTGAATTGGCCGCCGTACAATAGGTTTAGGACTGATTTGATAATTACCCCGGTGCATGCTCACCTCAGTTCAAGAACTCATGCGAGGCTGTTTCAAGCTGATGGTACATAGCCATGTTATCCACCAAAAAGCTGCAGACTTGAGAGAGTGACCTCACCAATGAGGCCCTGTTCCAGAGGTGAGGGTCCACTCCCATGTTGGGTGTCTGCTCCTTCTGCGAACGAGATGTGGGGCTACCGCCAGGCAAAGTCCGGAGGGCGCTTTCACACTTTTACACCCGCCAGTTGAAGACCGAGCAACGATTCGGATAGAACCCACATGCCCTTTTGTGGATCTGGTCTCTGGTCTGAAACACCTTTTGCCGTCACGGATAAGGTTCTTTTTGGCTATTTAGGTATGACATCTTGGACTTTTGTTCGTTTTTGGCGAGGAAAAACGGGAGCCAGGAACAAAAAGGGCCGAGACAACCGCGCTTACTTTCAGAGAGGATGGTATCTGCCCCCATCAACGAGCCGACAGCTGATGGCTGTTGGTCACGACTACTACCAAAAAGCTCCCATGTGGGTTCGGATGGAATATGCCCTCTTCAGATATCGCATCATTTATCATCTTGCAAGGGAAAATTCTTCTTGTTACTTTCAAGTCACATCATCCTGCAATGCACATTTTTGCATGATACCCCATCCCCCAACTTAATTTCCAGTGATCGACAACAATAATAAGTGAGTGCAACTCGGGACTCATGCGAGCCAAATGCATGCGAATCATGACATCCGGTGGGCCTCACAAGACGCCTACAACGATCTGATAGCTCGCATGCCGTTAAGTTCGCATGAACAGGGTGCTCGCAAATGTCGCTCTGTTTCACGATCCGAGAGAAATAGCGCACTTCTCTCCCTTTCTTTCTCCCATACTTGTAATCCTTGACACATTTATACAAATCAAACGATTCTATTTACAACTTTCAGCCTTCCTATAACCTTATATTCTCCCCAAGTTCTTTCTGAAGGCAAGAGTCAAAGCTGGGCTTTTTCACGAGTGAAGAATTCTATAAGCTAAGTAACTATTTACCGCGAGCATTTCCTTGTCCCGAGTGCAAAAAAGGAAGGAAAAAAGAAACATGGAGAGGTTAACGTAGAGCCACCACTTCTGACTTAGGATGCCATTTCGGTTCGGTGCATCCTGATCACGTTGGTCGGCACAAATCTATAAGACGTGCATGGACTAATCAAAAGCATAGAAAGACATTCAGCTCAAAACGTCAAATTCACTTGAAGAAAGACACCCTCCTTGGAAAATAATTAAAGTTAAACGTTTCTTGGAAGACCAAACAAAAGGGCAAATAAAAGAAAAAAGAAAAATAATTTTGGAGAGTATAAAGCTTTTGATTTCCCCTGTATTTAGTGGAAACCCATTTCTACGATCTTATACGAACTAAAGAACGTACAAGTCTATACAATAAGAAAAGACAAATGACTACAGAACAAACCAAAGAAGAGCTTAGCCCAAAGCGGTTTCAGCCGTTGATTCTGATATTTATTATTGCATCAAGTCGATTTCTTAGCGTATTCTTAACTAGTTTATACGTGTATCTTTCTCATTTGTACTTGTCAGGCCGAAAAGTGGAGAGCCTCTTATACGTATATATGAAAACGATGCATGAAAATTGAGGAACCGCAAAGACCGGGACGTGCATGTGCTCATGAACGTGGTAGGACCATCACCCAAATCTCCTTTTGTTTTCGAGTGGACCCTCGGATCATCTATTTTATGCACAAGACGCCCAGAACAAGAACAAGAAAGTTGACTAAATAATTCCAAGAAATGTTTAGCCTCGGGTCTTGTAAGATGAGAGCACCCGCACGAAGCCAATCATGACTACTAATCTCCTTTTAAAATCAGAATTAAAATCTATTATTGGGTGTGCTCTCGAAATCAGCCACGTATCCCTCTTGCGATTCTTTTTAAATTACATGCCGTGACGCGAACGGATTTTGCGTGGATTTGGAGGTTAATTAGGGTTTGTTCTCTACGCATGGGGTTGGTCATTAAGACATCAAGAACGATCATCAAATGAGCTCGACGAAAGCAAGATTTTATCAGAATAAAATTATGGATCGGTTCTTGACGTCGCGATCAACAGTGTCCGAGGCTCTTGTCCCTTCTTCTTCTTCTTTTTTGCTCTTTTTTTTTTTTGTCTTTGTGGGGTGTGTGTGTGTCTCATCTTTAATTCCGAAATATGGTTGGTGAACGAGAGATTTTTGAATATTTTTTATATCGATGTCGACGTTGGGGGTTGGTTCCACTAACAGTTATGGTGGGCACATCAAGCTGATCTTGATCTTGCCATGTTTTGAATTTTTTCACACAAATGGAACCCAGGGCAGAAAAAAGAAAAGAAAGAAAAGGGGGTGTGGGAATTTCAATGAATTTGACTTGGGATTTTCTCATTTTCTTCACTTTTGACTCGCAATAGGAAGGACATTACCGTAGCTGTTCATACATCGAATCAACGAATTCTTCGAAAAGTAACACGACAAAATCTAGAGCAGGGTCGTTTGATTACCAATTTACCTGGTTCCCACTTCCCGGTACGTACGTTGGTAGGCTCAATTTGACTTTAGCCGTTGTGAGCATTGGACTTTGTAGCATTCGGAGTCTCGAGTCTCCCCCAAATGTGAAACCGAGTCCCGGTAGATTTGCACAGAACTTTCTGTTTTACGCACCAGAAAGGATGGTAACCCACTGGGTATTTGGATCTAAGAAAGAAAATCGTTAATTTCTCAAATGGCAATCTATCAAGCCTGATCAGCGTTAGTGATTCACGAACCCTTTCGGAAAAAAACAAAAGGACAAGCATTGTCTTTCCTATTGGCGATCCATCGACTAGCTAGCGCCGTCTCAAATTTCGTTCGCTAGATACGGAATTCTCAAGAACATACCGATTGCCAATAGCCGCGCCAGGACTCGTTTAATCTTTACCATCGAGCCGAGTTTCTACATGCTCCAATGTCAATGCACAGGATGAAGTTTTTCCTCGATCTACCTTGGAGCATGGGTTGTGCCATGCACATAATTTCTTGCTGTCGCCATTTGTCTGCTCCGCACATAGCCCAAAAGTTGGACTTCAAGAGAAGACAAACCGCCCCAAATGGACGCCTCAAATCGCTGCTCATTTGCAGCAAGTCCCAGACCAAAAAACCCAAAGACTCAACGAAGGTCAATAAACAAAACGATTTGACTTCACGACAACACGCAGGAGGAGCAGGAGCCATCTTAACGTGAATGTCGCGAGAATATTCAAAAGGAAAATACAAAGAGAAAGAAGAAGAAGGGGCAGAAGAGGAGGATGACGAAGGAATGGAAACGGTCGAAGGGGGAGGAGCGCATGTGCAGGTGGGTCCGGTTAGGGTTCGGCAGTTTGGAACATTTGCATGTGCTCTTCCAACCTCTGTAAACCACCTTAAAAACGACCCCCCATTTGTCTCTTCTCCTCCTCCTTCTTCGTTTGGTTTACTTGCATGTTTTTCCTTTTCTCTTTCTTTGGAATTTTGGGGCAATCCATGTTCTTTTTATTTAATTATCGATTCTGCAAACAGTCGCGCACCCCACGTCAAAGTCCTATATAAAGGAAGAGAGCTTTGTGTAACAGAGCACACCCACCAAGCCTCCGAGCAACAAAGACCCCTCTAATCCCTCTCTTTCCCTCCCTCTTTGCAATTCTAGTTTGAAGTAGCGAAGAGAGGCAATGGCGGTCGCGACGCCCTCGGCATTCTCCCTCCTCGCATCAGTGGTCATCGGTTTGTGCCTCCGAGTCGCTTATGCTGACTATGGCGGGTGGCAAAACGCTCACGCCACCTTCTACGGGGGTGGTGATGCGTCCGGCACGATGGGTACGTCTGTTTTACAAGTTCACCCGCCCCTCACTTATCTTCGCTATTTAAATCAACTAATCAAGGAAGATAAATTGTCTTGTCCTAAGGGTGGTTATGATGAATTTACGATTGCACCCGCGCCTCCTCCTAAATCGACTTGTGCATGGGAAAACTTTCATCAAAGTGTGATGATAGTTGCATCTTAGTCCACTGTAGTAAATTCATTTTTTCTTCTGTTTATGCAGGCGGTGCTTGTGGGTATGGCAACTTGTATAGCCAAGGCTACGGGACCAACACTGCGGCCCTCAGCACCGCTCTGTTCAACGACGGCCTGAGCTGCGGGTCCTGCTACGAGATGAAGTGCAACGACGACCCGCAGTGGTGCCTCCCCGGGACCATCACCGTCACCGCCACCAACTTCTGCCCCCCGAACAATGCCCTCGCCAACAACAACGGTGGCTGGTGCAACCCCCCGCTCCAGCACTTCGATATGGCCGAGCCCGCATTCCTCCAGATCGCCCAGTACCGAGCCGGGATCGTCCCCATTTCCTTCAGACGGTAACGCAACTCGAACCGAGCACTTCCCTACCCTTCGAAATCAATCAACCAATCGCAAAACATTCAGAAGTTGAAAATATGCTGACTTATACGTATGGTCATGGGCGTTGATGCTGCAGGGTCCCATGTGCGAAGAAAGGAGGCGTAAGGTTCACGATCAACGGCCACTCCTACTTCAATCTGGTGCTGATCTCGAACGTGGCCGGAGCGGGAGACGTGCGCTCGGTGTCGATCAAGGGCTCGAAGACCGGGTGGCAAACCATGTCCAGGAACTGGGGCCAGAACTGGCAGAGCAATTCCTACCTCGACGGCCAGTCCCTCTCCTTCCAAGTCACCACCAGCGACGGCAAGACCATCACCAGCAACAACGTCGTGCCCTCCAACTGGCAATTCGGCCAGACTTTTGAAGGGGGCCAATTCTGAAAAACCAAGAACCTTGGTATCCAAAATGGGAAGTTGGGTGGAACGGAGCAGGGTTAGGAGAAAGGAAATTGAATGTTTTGGGCCAATTTGGGCCGTCTATTGCTGAGGTGGCTTTCGAGCACCCGCTAGGCATTTAATTATATATATCACATGATATATGTATACATAATAGATATATAGAAGAAGTGCTTGTGAGTTTGTACTTGTAGAGACCAGGGATCAAAATCAAGAAAAGAACAGAGTGGCATTCTCGGTTGCCCTTTGGGGACTGAGTAAAGAAAGATCCATGGACATCATTGTGAGGGTCTGCTGATTGTAATTCCCCCAAGTTGGTTTTTGGACTTGGACAACTTTTTTTTATAATATCTACTTGGGATTGATGATTGATTTGATTGTTGTTTCTGGGTAAAGATGGAAATCTTCATTTACTATGGCCATCCTGCTCCTGCTCTTCCTTTCTTTAGCCCAGAATTACGCCAAAAGATTTGTGCGGAGAAAATGGTGAAATGAAGGAGTCGGTGCAGGCTCGACTCTCGAAACAAGTGAAGTGTCCTGACTGAACGGAAAAATATTCGGTGGCTTCAAATCACCATGTTATTGACATACGTGGTATATATATAATCCTATTTGGATATATAAAAAATGTGACACATGTTCAAGTGACATGAAAATTAAAAGACGAAAAGATGAAAACCCTGCAGGCTTGTCGGCATGTCCTCTCTCTCCTTTTTGCATCTTCTCCCTGCTCTCTCTTTCTGTCTTTTTATTTCAAATTTCGCTCTAATCACCTCAAGCCTATCTCTCCGCTCTGTCTCGCAAAGTCTGACCACCGCCTCTGGACAACCAATATATAATCTTGGCGTCAAGAGAATCACCAATTTCGTGCACCTCTCGATGACGAACTTTTCTAGTACGAATCCTTTCGCTTCTTAGATCTTTTAATTTAGCTTATATCACACCCCGTCTTAAAGTCTCTTCAAATTGGATTATCCAAGTTAACGTGAGAGCGTCACACACGCCGAAATATCCCGCTCGAGGAAATGGGTTAAGATTGTTTCTTCTTATTTTGTGGATTCTTGATTGTTAATCTGATGGACAAAATACATGGTTCTTCCTGAGCCGCCAAGATGAGTTCCTTTGTTCTGCGCACCACCAAGTCTATATTATGGTCTCAGGTTGGTAAAAAGTACACTATTTCTCGAGCAAACCCTACTCCTCCAACGCGTGATATTGGATAAGTTAGTAATTCTAATCTCCCCTTAATGGATAGAGATAAAACCCATTTCGTAACTAATAACATCGATGGTATATCATTAATTCGATATACCACCTTGGTTCCAGCTAGGTAACCGTTTTTTTTTTCAACATGAATACTCTTCTATAGAAGATGGTAGTGCATGACAGCTGGATAGCTCTCTCATTTATGAAATCAAATTTCACGTTAGTCGTGTTAATAAGGGTCTCTCGTGAACTTAAATTCGCAATAATCAAAGCTTCAAAACATTGACTTCACATGTACTAATCTGCCTACACAAACTACAAGTTCTTCTCAACGGATTGCTCAACAAGTATATACTCGAATCTCTCGTAAACAAAACCACAAAACCCATTTCACATTTTGTCTTGTCTTAGGTGACACGTGTCATACTCGCTGAGTCAACTCGCTGAGTGGCCACGGGTTGACTCGCTGCCGCGGCCCAACCCTCTCCGAGTCTGCCGCTGCTGCCCCCCTCATTTCATTCTCGCTCCTGAAGATCAGCTCTCCACAGAAAGAGGAAGCTCCGATGGCTCTCCGCGCGCTGCTGACCAGAAAAACCCTAGCCTCCGCCCCGCGCCTCGGCGGCGCCGCCGCCGCGGCGAGCTTCCGCGGCCTCCAGACCTCCTCCCTCCCCGACCTCCCCTACGACTACGGCGCGCTCCAGCCGGCCATCAGCGGCGAGATCATGCAGCTGCACCACCAGAAGCACCACCAGGCCTACGTCACCAACTACAACAAGGCGCTCGAGCAGCTCCACGACGCCATGGGCAAGGGCGACGCGCCGGCCGTCGTCAAGCTGCAGAGCGCCATCAAGTTCAATGGCGGAGGTTCGGTTCTCTTCTGTTTTGCCCTGTTCCGTCTGGGATTTAGTTTTTGTTGTTTGCTTTCTCTAAGAGTGGAACTTCGACACGATGTGGAAGTGAGCGTGAAATTCGATCGAGCATTCTCTTGTCTAACACGGACTCGACGACGAGTGTTCAGATTGTTCTTATATGTTGCCTGCCGTTGCATAGAAAAAGGACCTTAATGAATTTTCAGAGGCAAATTTGTTGAGGAGGTGCTTCACTTCTCATTTGGAGTCAACAATCCTTGGTGATTCAAAGGGTTTACTGGAGCAATGATGAGGGCTAGGCAGAGCTGTTAAGGTTGCAGTCACGGTAACGGAACGCAATTAGCTTATAGTCTTATTTGTCAGCGAAACATATGAACAAGGAAAAATGCTTTCCACTTTGTTCTATTTAAGGTTAATGGACTGAAGGAAGGCGTTATTTGTGATCAAAGCTTCTTGTGATTCAATGAAATTGAGAATGAAAGGTGGTCGAGAATTCAACTCATGGACAATTGAATATAGTAAGCGGTACATGTCAAAGATCAGCTATTCGTTGTGAGGAAACTTGTAGTGTATATAAAGTGACTAATCTGGCTTTGCCAGCACTCAGTGAGATAAATCTACTGTCTGCAGTTGTGGCTCGTGTCAAGTCCTTGATGGGTTAGCTGCCCTCTAGAGCCAAAGTTCCTGGTTTTTTAGTATTTGTCTGCCATAGCTCGCCAATGTCTGATTGGTTGTCGATAGCTTTTTCCATATTGATGTGAATGGTGCGTTGGTGCTCCTGATAAACCATAGTACTATAGAATGTACAGAGTGACAAGTTTTGGATCTATATGGCACTAGTGAGGATGGGTGGCATTCAAATGTGACCACATTCAGATTGTGTCGTGCCTACTAACTAGAAGGAAAATTTTGTTGAGGGTTGTCTTTCCATCCTGAAGACAGTTGCTTGGATTAGTCACTGTATCGGTAGGTTTCATTTGTTATCATATTCTTATTGCAGTTGCTACCAACTAAATGAAAGGGGAAAAGAGGTGGAATTAGGGTTTCTGAGTTTTGTTTTGTTTCATATGAATAATTTACAGCATGTGATGAACAAGTGTGAAATGTTGTATCAGATATTATCAATTCATTTTTAAGTAAGCTTCATAGGCATTGTGGTGGTAGTTCACGCAGTTTTGCAATGGCATGTTGAACCACGCCTGTGATTGAACTTTCTTACAGAACTTCATCACATTTGAAACATGCTTCGCTTAGGTTTATTGTTTGAAAACAATTTGCAGAAATTTTTTGTTTCTTTTAAGAGCACTGATGGCCACACCGGCCCTTCTGTTACCTCTTCTTGTTTTATAAATCATCCAACAATCTTAAATTTTCTTTTTACTCTCTATGTGCATATTAAACTTTTAAAGATTAGCTTTTGCTGCTTAGCCCGTTATTATCCGTTTGATTTTACTCCTCTTACGATTTTGTGGATGTAACCTATGTTCAGGTCATGTTAATCACTCAATATTCTGGAAAAATCTTGCTCCAATTCAGGTAAATGCATGTTTGACAAATTTTGATCCATGCGGTTGCTTTATGACTCTCTGACCTCATATGTTGGGTAATGTAGGAAGGAGGTGGTGAGCCACCAAAAGGGTCCCTCGGTTGGGCCATCGACGATCATTTTCAATCTTTAGACGCGCTCGTTCAGAAAATGAATGCAGAAGGTGCTGCTTTACAGGGCTCTGGATGGGTGGTAAAGTTCTCATTTTGTAGTTGTAAATCCTGCTTTATTTGCTTTGCATGTTCTTTTAGTACTTACTAATCCAATTGATGTCCCGTTTGCCAAGCTAATTCACTTCTTTGGCACTTTCTTAACTATGCAGTGGCTTGGTGTGGACAAAGAGCTGAAGAAGTTGGTGGTTGAAACCACATCCAATCAGGTTATCTCCATCACTTTTTAATTCCCAAATGTTTCGTTAACTTTATTGGAAGCTACTTGATTTTTATGGATTCATCTTCATTCTCCCTAGCATTGTAAGATTTGTGTGGGTCCCAGATATCTGTGGTTGTTTTCTCATCACTGAGGTCTTGGAAGATGAGGTTCACTATGAATGTATGCCTTTTGCAGACTAAGGAGCAATGGCCTCTGTAACAACATTACAGGCTTGTAGACAATTATTTGATTTCTGTGCAAGCCATGTTCTTAATACTGTTAAAACAGGGAATGCGCTATAATAGGTTGAATCTTTAATTAACATGAACTTCTATTCTTCTACTACTAGATTTCCATGGAGAATGATGATTTGTTTTCCTTCCTGAACTCTGTAACATGACATTATAGTCACACAATTGCCCACTAAGATGCTCAACTTTGTTAGATTTGCAGGCATTCACTTACTCGCTACGATTTATCTAATACTGCTATGATTGCAAACGTCTAATAACAAGTTGAGAGGAAGTTGAATATGATCCCTCAAGCAACTTGTTGGCTTACTAGGAGGGAGAAAATATGAAATTTTTTTTTAAAGGGAAATCACTTGGATTCTGTTATGAAATTGTGGCGGTCTAGACACCCAAGTCTTGATGTAGATGAATTACTGGATTAGTACTCCATCTTGTGTATATAACAGTGTATGCAGGTAGGCCCCCCTGGGGGTGCTGTTTTGAGTGAAATCTGTTCTATTGATAACAATGGGTTAAACAATTTGCTATGTTTTAACAGGATCCGTTGGTGACCAAGGGACCAAGTTTAATTCCTTTGATTGGCATAGATGTGTGGGAGCATGCATATTATTTGCAGGTATGTCTTCACTTCTAGGTGCTCTGGATTTGACACATATCATTACCATGGAACTCTTTCATTTGTTTGGACATTGTAGTCTGTTTAATTATCCTGCTACTCTTCATACTTCCATGAAATATCGAACTTTATTGTGACTTGTGATATGTTGTAAGCATTTATTGAGCATGAGAAAGCTGAAGTTGCGAATTTTTTTGGATAGTTACGTGTGCATGACCGTATGAGGGATTCACTAAGTTGTTTATGACTAATGACTGTAGCAAGTGAAATATCTACACGTATTTCTGATGGAGTTATATGTTAAGGACATGGAGAGGGAAAGGGGAAGAGGAGGGAGGGAGGGAGGGGGGTGGGGGTGTGGTGGTGTGTTGAAGGTTTTCAGCTTATTGGACAGCCGGGTCTTAGTATGTGACCTGATATACAAGGAATGAGAAGTGGGTGAAAGCATGCTTAATAGCAGTTATAGTGGCGAGATGAAACATTGTAATTACATGTCACCTGTAGTCATATGGAACTTTTCGGACCCTATTGTGTTGGAAATGGCAAATTCAGTTATTGCAATTGTATCTCTGATGCTTGTTCGTGCCGGTACTAGTTCACTTTTTCTTGGGGATCTCCTCTTTTATGGTACTCGTTCGTGCCAGTACTTGTTCACTTTTTCTTGGGGGTCTACTCTTTTATGGTACTCGTACTCGATTCGACCAGTGGCATTATTTAGACATTCTTGATGCCTCCTTTGTTTCTTTCTGCAGTACAAGAATGTGAGACCAGATTACCTGAAGAACATATGGAAAGTCATTAACTGGAAATATGCCAGTGAAGTGTATGAGAAAGAATGCCCTTGAACTCTTCTTCCATTCCCAAAATCGTTGATGGAAATCTGGGAGGGAGCTCACTGAGTTGTCCCGTCGATTCGGCCAAAAAAAAATAGTATGACGCAATGTTGGGTCCCGGAAGATGTTTTCATTTGCAAATATGTATCCTTGACCATGGAATAAGTTGAACTGATGTGAATTCTCACGGTTTCTCTGTTTTGGAACCTTGTATTTCTGCCCTGTTCTTAAAATGGGTGACCGTAAACCTTTGTGTTCATCAGGTCTCATGAATTATGAAGAAGTTTTGTGATGCAGCTTGGTGTAGGCTACTCGAACGTTAGGATCGGGAGAGTGACTTGCACACGTGGAACAGGACGAACAGTAATTACAGTCCTGCGCAAACTCTGGAAAATGGATGCAACTTCGTCTATACAGATCGGAATGACCTGATTCTAAAGCCAAATGAACAAAGACTTCTGGATTAACAATTTCTCTGTTTTGAGTTTTCTCAAATAAGCACTGTAGGAAGGACGGAATCGGGGTCAAAGTGGATGGATGTAAATGGACAGAACAGAGGAAAAGATAGAACTTCGTTGGTTGCTCTTCCGAGCCTCCAAGGAAGTGTGGATAGGGCACCGATTCTTCTAGATCGATTACTGCAACTCTTTAAGGATGCATATTTGAAAACCTCCGACTCTTCAAGGACGGAATGAAAACTCTTTTAGGTTTTCAAGGGGGTATGAACTCTTCAAAGTTCAAGATAATTGCTTGATGCAAAATTTTCATTAATCAAATTCGTCTACCATTTACAGAAATTTGATGGCCTTTTAGCCAAAGAAAGAAAAGCAAACGCATGGGAAAATACTAAAGTCCAAACCTAGAAACTAGAAAGCATTAAAGAACATAGAAACTAGAAAATATTAAAAATCATCGAAACTAGAAAACATTAAAGATCATAGAAACTAGAAGCTATTAAGAGCGAAGCATTTTCCAGCATCTTCATGGTTATCCCAAGGTGTCTCCTCAAGCGTTTTGTGTTCTTCGATGCAAATTCATCGAATTGGCAACTTTCGACAAGAGGCTCTTGAATGCGGGTTCATCGAATCGGCAACTTTCGATGAGCTTGAATGCGAGCTATTCTTCTTGGTCGAGTGAGCTGATCTCCAATGCGGATTGCATCATTTTGGCTCTTCCATATGTCTTCAGTAGGGCAATTGCATAACGTCTTACTTGTTGGTGAAAAACAAACTCCAGACTATCCGTTAATTTCCCCCAAAAAGAAATGGAATTGTCAATTATTACGACAAATCTGAAATATCATATAACTTTCGGAAAATAATGGAAAATTACATGTGAATTTGTATATCCATGTTTGGATGTTTTAGGAAGTTTTTGTGTATTTTGCATTGAATAAAAAGTCAATTTAAAAGTTTAAAAAATAAAAGGGTAAATGACACAAATAGCCTTTGAATTTTAGTCGAATGTGCAATATGGTTTCTGAACTTTAAATTTGTTCAATGTGGTCCCTGAACTTCAACTTAATGTGCAATGTCGTCTCCGAACTTTTAATTTGCTCAATATGATCTATGGACTTTCGGTACATGTTTTATTTAGTTCCTCGACTGTATAAAAATGGTTAACACGTATCAAAAGTTCAAGAACCACATGAACAATTAAAAATTTAGAGACGATATTGCAAATTGAGTTAAAGTTCAGGGACTACATTGAACAAATTTAAAGTTCATAGACCATATTGCACATTCGGTCAAAGTTTAAAGATCATTTGTGTCATTACCCCAAAAGAAAAAGCATTCGAAACGGATAATTATGAGATATTTCAATGGGGGATTTGGTTAAAGGCCAATTATTATGTTAATATCGCCAAAAATCTCCAATTGTGAGCATATATATTTTCCCTTATTCTCTCTATTCTACATTTTACTTCATTTTTTGGGGGGAATTAGGGTGCGAATGGTAACCATTTTGCTCCAGAAATTAAATTCTTGCCAGAAATTGATTTATGGAGGAGAAATCTGTTTGGTAAAACATGACTAATTCTGCTCTAGAAATTGATTTCTGGAACAGAAATCTGTTTTGATTTGTTGATTTTTTTTGCACCTAAAAAAATTTAAATTTTACTCAAAGTGGGTGGCCACATGTATTATAAGCCATTTTATAAAGTTTTGAAATTTTTGATTTTTTTAAAATTTTTTTTGGGCACCTAAAAAAATTTAAATTTCACTCAAAGTGAGTGGCCACATGTATTCTAAGCCATTTTGTGAATTTTTATATTTTTTTTTATATTTTTGGGCACCTCAAAAAATTTAAATTTTACTCAAAGTGGGTGGCTACAGATATTCTAAGCCATTCTGTGAAGTTTTGAAATTTTTTATTTTTTATTTATTTTTTTGGGCACCTCAAAAAATTTAAATTTCACTCAAAGTATGTGGCCAAATGTATTTTAAGCTATTTTGTGAAGTTTTGAAAATTTTTATTTTATTATTATTTTTATTTTTTTTTGGCACCTCAAAAAATTTAAATTTCACTCAAAGTAGGTGCACGTATTTTAAGCCATTTTGTGAAGTTTTGAAATTTTTGATTTTTTTGGCACCTCAAAAATTTAAATTTCACTCAAAGTGGTGCTACCGTGTGTTTTAAGCTATTCTGTGAAGTTTTGAAATTTTTGATTTTTGATTTTTTAAAAAAAATTCACCAAATTTCATATTTTCCCGAAATCTGACTTTTTTTTATTTTATGGAAATTTTTATGAATTTTTCTAGAATTTTTCAATTTTTATGCATTTTCTGAAAAAAAAAATTGTGAGAAAATAGGGAGAATGCGTTCCGGAATCAAGAAAATACAAAAAGTAGCTTCTCTTTTTCTTGCCAAAAACTCATTCCGGAATAAAAAATGCATTCTGAAATCAAGTATTTTTAACAAACGCATTTTTATTCTAGAATGCAAAAATTGCTCCAGAATGTATTCCGGAAATTTTTTAACAAACGCCATTCTGTTCCAGAATGCATTCCGGAACAGAATTTTTATTCCGGAATGCATTCCATGCGCACCTTTAGGGTTTTTCCCTCTTTCTTTTTATTCCAGAATTTTTACTAGCTTCGGTTTTCTCTCTCTTTTTCGGTTTTTCCCTTCTTTCTTTCCACGGAGGGCAAATCTGACAATTCGCAACGGCGTTAGGGTTTTGCACTCGCGTGCATATAAAAGCGAAAGGGCTCCCCTCGGCACAAACGCTCCGCTGAGATAAACAAACCCCAAACCCTAGGGAGAACGAGCCGGCGAAGCCAGAGCTTCGAGATCCTCCGTCCAGGCGGCCGCAGCTCGCGAAATGGTACGATTCGCAGAGTCCGTCGCCGTCTCCTACATCTCGGAGAGGCGTCTGCATTCGCCGTGCGCGCTTTTTGCTGACGATTCCCTCTCTCTCTCTGTGTGAACGCAGACTTTCAAGCGCAGGAACGGAGGCCGCAACAAGCACGGCCGCGGCCACGTCAAGTTCATCCGCTGCTCCAACTGCGGCAAGTGCTGCCCTAAGGTAATCGACGCTCCATCGACTGCGATGCGTTCGATCTGTCTCCGCTGCTGCTGCTGCTTCTGCTTTCTGCATCGGATAACATGAACTATCCATTCGCTCGCTAGTTTTTGTTTATTCGAGTAGCTGAATCCGTGCGATTTCGTATAAGTTCATAGCTGAATCCTGTGAGCTGGATATAGCTCGGTCATAGTTCGATTGTGTTTCTGTTTGCGGAATTTGTATCCGGTGTTTCTCGTACTATCGTTTTGGATGGTTTCGCTTAGATCCGTAGGTGGTTTAGATAATGAGGTATGAAGGATGTGTTTGTTTCTCGATTTTGTTTGTTATTCACTTGTGTTGTGGATTTGTTGTGAATCTAGGATAAGGCAATCAAGAGGTTTCTCGTGAGGAACATTGTCGAGCAAGCTGCTGTCAGGGATGTCCAAGAAGCTTGTGTCTATGACAGTAATCGCTTGCTCCTCTTGCTACTTCTTATTGAAATTCTGTTGGGATTTGCCTTTTTTATGCATGGTTTTCTCTAAACGAAATGCGGCATTCTCTTGTAGATTATACTCTTCCGAAGCTGTATGCGAAGATGCAGTATTGTGTGTCGTGTGCCATCCACTCCCATGTTGTGAGGGTTCGATCTCGCACGAATAGGAGAAACCGTCAGCCTCCGCAGCGCTTCATCAGACGTCGTGTATGCTCTCCAATACTGTTTACTGCTATTCGCATTGATCTTTTCTTTTTCTGATGCATTGTGTATCTCGTGCTGTTTTCCTAGTTTTAGTTTGAATGTCATTCGCTTCGCCTTCATCTCTTGCATTGTTTCTTTCCTGTACCTTGCAAGTACTGCTAGCTTTTATTTTTGCCTTTCTGTTGTTTAGTCTAGTCTGTTGACTGATAGTTTAGACTAGTCTCTTCGGAGACGTCCGATAAAATTGGAACAACACCGAACAGAGCTTAGTCTGTTGGCTGGTAGGAGGATATGATCTTGTCCTTGAATAATCTATGAGGTGCTAATAGATTTTTCTCTTGCCCTTCTTCATCAAAACATGAAATATTTCAACATGGACCTTTTGTTTATCGTTCAAATGATTCTTTTATTTTTTCTAAAAACTAGTCTCCAAGGGTCATGAAATCCAAATTCTATTATCTTATTGTTTGCCTAGCCCATAGCTTTTTCCTTGGAAATACCTATTCCATATGTATTATATATTGGGGACAATGTATTTTGTGTCTGAAGGAAGGTTTTACAGCATTTGATTGGTTTATACGCGCCATTTATCAATACTCTTGATTATTGACGATCTTCTCCGGTGCTTATGCTGCTATATAAAAGTTGTCTTTGGTAATATTTATCCTATGGAGTGTTCTTTAGTTTTAAGCTTGGTAGATAATAGGCCTTTATGGCAAGATGATATTATAGTACGTTTCTGTTTTGATAACTTGACATCTCCATCAATTCTTCAATTGTACATGATTTTCTGTACACCAACAGTCTTTTTGGCCAAAAATGTAAATGAAAATTTGTTTGCTCGATAATTTTCTCTTTCTTGCTTGATTTTTTTTTTTTGGCAAATATAATAGGCCTATTGGACTGATTTGGTGTTTTGTTGTGTTTGCCTATAGTAATGCCTCTGGTATGCTGGGTTTTTTCATAATGAGATTGTCTTACGCAGGACGATGCGCCAAAACCTGGTCAGCCTGGTCAGGCACCTCGTGTTGGAGGCGCCCCTCCCCCTCGGGCCTGAGGCAAAAACCGAACCTACTCTTGCAGAATGCCATGTGCTCTTGATTGCTTGCATGACTTTTTAGGACAAATTCTTTTTTCTTTGTTTGAAAGTTTTGATGTTGGATTGGGGCTACCCGTCTGTACTGCATGAGGATTATATTCCTCTTCTTCCAAGTCCTTGTTCGGATTCTAGATACCTTTTTTAATCAATGTGAGCATCTAGACCAGGGAATTAGTCTAAAATACATAGTGTAGGCGACTATACCTTTGCCCTACAAGGGAATTTGAGATGCATCTGAATTGGGGGCATGCATGGCCAGCCTTGAATCGGGTAAGCCCGCGTCACATTCATAAAATCGTCGCCATTCGGTGCTCGATTACCATCCGATGAAGTCAAACAGGGGCCATATAGTCGGTCTGGGCGATTGCGTTGCCGAGGCCTTACAGATAAGATTAAACGAGTTAGTTTTTGGCTGGGCTGGGCCAATACATGTCTTTCCAAAAGTTAAGTGACTGGGCTTTAAGTGGGCTCTTTCTTTTTGTTCCTTTTTTGGGTGTTGCCACAACAAGCACGTAAAGATAAAAATGATCAGCATTTCAAAGCTGCTTTGGGGCTCTAAAGTCCCTTAAGCAAATGTAAAGTTGTTCGGCAAATTTTTTGATAAGCTTTGACAATATGCAAAGCTTTCCAATGGCTTTTTGCTGAATGGAGTCTATGAGGAGCCTTGGGAAGTTGCATTTTCAGAATGCAATCGAGCACTGTTCATCATCTTCCAAGCAACTGGTCCGGCGGCCGGCCACCGCCGCCTGAGAGCTAGCGCCTCGGCGACTGCCGCCTAGGGGTTGCGCGACCCCGGCGACCATCGCCTAGGGTTGCCGGACCTCAGGCGTCGCTTGGGTCGCGCGACCCCCAGGCGGCAGTTGCTTGGGGGTCACGTGACCCCCAGGCGACCACCGCCTGAGGTCGCGTGACCCTAAGCGGTGGTCGCTAAGGTCGTGCGACGCCGCCTGGAGTCCTCGGACCATTGGCCGACTCGCCTGAGGTCACGCGACTTCAGGCTGCCTCGCCTGAGGTCAGGCGATGCTTGCTAGCGACCAGATCTGGCCGGTGGCGGTGGTGGTCGGTTGGCCAGTTTTTTTTTTTTTTTTTTAAATATCAACAAAAGTCTTTTACAAATAATTATTATCAAACTGTATTTTGACCAAAGTTGCTTTCAACTGTGATTTTAAATACACATTACCAAACACTACTTGCATTTTGAAAAACCCTTTTAGCTCAAAGGCCTTTGCATTTTGCCAAAGGCATTCCCCCCAAGCCGAACCAAACAGGCCCGAAGGCGAGAAGAACGCAACATAGTGCAAGGGATGTTGTGGTAACCATCCTCGACAGCAATCGCCAAGCACCATTGATCCAGTGATCACGTTCTTAAATTGTCTTTCACGATACCACGGGTTCTAGCGTGTCGTGACAAATCTTAGACCGGCTTGTTCTACTGCTCTCTGATGATGAGCCGGCGAGGCCACATCGGCAGGGTGCGGGATCTCCGGACCCCTGTCCGGGTGGCAAGAGTCCCGTAAGTGTAACCCTATACAATAATGCGTATGACAAGGAGTCAACTAGATGTTGCCCCTTCCCCTAAACTGTTCGGCCCATTAGACAAAGCTGTCTCCGTAGGATCATGTCTTGGGTTCTTGCAGTGCGCTGGGTCAGCGACACGTGAAGGCAGGAGATTGCCCCGGGCTCATGGGCCGTCTCACGGCGTTCGACGCTCTCTCGGAGTAGTAGTCGACATGCCCCGGAGATTGCCCCGGGCTCATGGGCCGTCTCACGGCATTCGACGCTCTCTCGAAGTAGTAGTTGACAGGGCGACGTTGATTGGATAAGGGACCCCTCTCAGGCATCACAAGGGATGTGAAATCTGGTCATTACAACTAGGGAAATTATTAGATTTATTCGTGGAGCCAAACGTGTGGCTTTGACTTTCGACATAAATAATGCCCTTCTAAAAATGGTTTAATCTGTTCCATGTCTTCACGCCTCACGAACTTTAGCCAGATTACTTCTCTCATCTCGGTACAAATCCACTCCATCTCTTTCTCCCACGCTCAAGCTCGCTCACTGTCGCAATCGCGCAAGTAAGGTATCGTAGACATTAAGGATTTCCCCTGATTGGGTCCACATTGACCCAATTTAGGCCAAATTCGACCCATGGGCCTTAAATGGGTCTTTAACTGGACTTAACTAATGGCCTTTTTGGCCCATTAAGGATGGTCCCTGTTTGGGCCTAAATTAAAATAATCGGCCCATGGGCCTCAACGTGGGCTTACACAATGTACCTTTGCGACCCATAAAAGGGCCCTGTTTTGGACTTCGCGGCCCTATTCCGGCCCATGAGAAAAAAACCTTATCTTCTCAATATGAATAGGCCCTGTTTGGCCTATGTTGGGCCAATTTGGGCCCAAAAGTTATTGGTCCATGGGCCTAAAACGGGCCTCGGCCTGGGCTTAAATAATACCTTTTCGCTCGATAAGATGGGCCCGTTTTGGACTTCATGGATCCCTTTGGCCTAAAATAGCCTGGTTATGGACTTGAATGGTGTTCCCTTTCGACCCATCATGGATGGGCCCAATTTTGGCCTTAATGGGCCCAATTTAAACCTAAATCAACCGACAAATGGGCCTCAAAATAACCTTAAATGATGTGCCTTTCTGGCCCATTTAGGATGGGACCCAAATAACCATCCCATGGGCGTTCTACGTGGGCCTTTACCTATTAAGATCTACTGCCGAATAGATAGGTCCAGGGCCTCTAAAGGCCCAGTAAAGGTCAAGCTCATGGGCCAGCTATTGGCTCTCCGTGGACCAATATCTTGGGGTCATGGCCTACTTCTGGTTTCATTGGTCAAGGCCCTAAATTCCCAAACAACAGGCTATCAACCCAATCCGGGTTGCGGCATTTTCACTGCAGCCATGCAGCAGCACTGGCGCCGGAGCCACACAAAGATCACCCACCGTTTAGCTGCACCCACATAGGTTTTGTACACATGCTACTTCTACCAGTATTGAGGCTGAATTGTAATAGATATCAATCTGCTAGGCTCTTCACCTAAGTTATACTATTTACTCGTCAATTCAAGATTCCTCCATCAAAACCGCAAACGTTGGATTGCTCGTATGCACTTCTCAATTAAGTGATGGTAGAATAGAAAAGGCTGATATGGAAGGATCGGGCATGGAAAATTATCATTGAAGCAGTCCAAACACATTTCTAGTCAATTACTCGAACAAAACAGTAGCCCCATATGCAAGGATCGGGCATGGAAATTATCATTGAAGCAGTCCACAAACACGTTTCTAGTCAATTACTCGAACAAAACAGTAGCCCCATATGCAAGGATCGGGCATGGAAATTATCATTGAAGCAGTCCAAACACATTTCTAGTCAATTACTAGAACGAAACAGTAGCCCCATATGCAAAGATCGGGCATGGAAAATTATCATTGCTCCGCAACAGCTAAATTTCTCTAAGTTGGTACTACGAAAGACACGAGATGGCTCATGTGATCACTAAATTTTGGGCAGGGTTTCTCGTGTGATGGCTCCAAATTAATGTTTACCAGCTGCTAAATCAGGGACTGCTCGTATGCATTTGAGGGTCTGCTTTCCACAGCCCAAGTTCGATCTGCATTCATAAAAAAATCTCACTTGCCAAACACGTAATGCATATTTCAGCTTTCATATAAAAAATTCGCTTTACCCTGAAGTACAGGTTGCTTCTCCACTGATGCATCCGAAATGGGTGCACTCTTAAGCATCGCTGGCACTGCAACTTTGCACCATGATTGGTTAACAGTGCTAAACCTCCTTGGCAATTCTAATGCATGTAGCCATAGGACAGTCTGTCTTAATGGCATTGGTTGCAATGTGTGACCTACTAACTGCATATCCCCTCTGAAACCAAACAAAAAGCCCAGAGAGTTTTCATTCATATGGGAAAGAATGAGAAGCTACCAAATATTGCCCTACTTCCAGCTACATTTTAAATCCAGCAAATAAAGAATGCCCCGCTCAAGGATACAGCTCAATGAATTCCCAATAGAGAAATTAAAGAAAGAAAAAAAAGACTCTTCATTCACAGCAGTATCTTCTCCAGAAAAGTGTGCATATGGAACGAGAATATTCTGAATCACAAAACTGCCTTGCCTTGCTTTTGTAAATTTACTACTAACCATTTTCGTTGCTCATAGAAGCAAGAAGCCCTTTCCTCTAAATAACCTTACATATAATTGACGGGAAATTTACCTGATAGGTAACATGCAAGACTTAAATGCTATGTTCAAGAGGATCAAAGTTACCTTCTGCAAGGCACTCATCATGGTCCTAAGTGGAGGGGAGTTGATTTTGGCACGGCTGGCAACCTAAGATATTCCCAAGAGCATATAGTTATCTCCGAGGCACCTTGCATTCTAATATTTGATGATTCAAACATCTACCACAGACCAAAGGAATAAAAAATGATATGTGAAGAACATAATGAAAGAGACCTCATCCAATTTGATGTAACCAAATGGTAGTCTAGGGTCACTCTCGTCCACCATCAGCTGCAAAAGTTTTTGAAGGTCCGTTCCCACGCCATTGCCCATCCATCCCAATTGCTTGGCCATATTTGACATTTCTGTGAGGTAGGAGACGCTGTGCAGAGGTCCAGTCCAGAGAGGCCCAGACACAACAAGCGACCCTCCCTCCTGAAAAGAAGTACAGGATATTTGTTTGACATCCCAAATGCATACAAAAGTGAATTGTTCCTCAACTCCACTGAGGAGGCAAATATGTAGGCATGGGCATTTCAATATGGTTGCAATAGTCATTTAACCATGTTGGCCACTACCACGCAGCATTAAACTAAGCTCATATATTTAACCCATTTCAGTCAGCTTATACTTATTACCAAGTCGATTTGTTCATATACTGGTCGGTATTTTTTCTGACTAATTTTGCAAATAATAGGTCTTAACAAGTCCCAACTCAATTTGTTTATACACTGGTTGGTATTTTTTCTAACTAATTTTTGCAAATAATAGGTCTTAACAAATCCCAAATAATCGCCGAGCAAGACATGCTGTATGCAATTTAAGATACCATAATCCTAATGTTACATCCAAACTTATCATGT